TCTGATGCATTGTGGCATGGACTCCACAAGACCTCTGAACATGTCATGTGATATCTGGCACCAAGACATTAGCAGCAGATCCTTTAAGTCCTGACAGTTGTAAGGTAGGGCATCTACGGATCAGATTTGCTGTTCCAGCACATACCACATATTCTCAATCAGATTGAGATATGTAGAATATGGAGGCAAAGGCAACACCTTGAGCTCTTTGTCATGTTCCTCAAACCCATCTTGAACATTTTTTGCAGTGTGGTAATTTTCCTGGCGAAAGAGGCCACTGAAATCAAGGAACACCATTAAAGGGGTGTAAGCAGGGCCAGATTAACATAGGGGCTGATGGAGGCCCAGGTCCATGGAATAGGCCCATTTAAAAAAAAAAAAAATTCCTTTTTTTTTTTTTTTTTTAACACACTACTCTTAGGTTTGCCACCTGACAGGTATTTTAAGGCACAGCCGGTATTTGAGGCTGCCTGGCCGTGATGGTATTGCAGTAATACCGGCAATACAAATGCAAATATTTTCCTCAGTATAAACGGAGATTACTCTGCAATACCAGCGCCGGCCAGTAGGGGTCACAGCATCTCCCTGCCTCTCTCTACTCTCTGACCCGCAGGGGGAGCAGCTATACAGCACAGAGAGTCCAGACAGCAGCTCCCTGCCTGCAGAGACAGACTACAGCTCAGGTATGTGAAGGATGGAGGGAAAGGCCGCAGGGAGACATGGGGACACTGAAAAACTAGGGGACACATGTAGCACACTGAGACACTAGGGGACACTGGGAGACGTGGGGACCCTGGGAAACATGGGGACACTGTGAGACATGGGAACGCTGAGAGTCATAGAGAGACACATTGGGACACGGAGACACTAGGTACACAGTGTCTCCATTTCTCCCAATGTCCCCATGTCTCCCAGCTAGTGTCTCTAGTGTCTCAGTGTCCCCATGGCTCCCAGTGTCCCCTAGTCTCCCAGTGTCTATGTCCCCATGTCTCTTAGTGTCCCCAAATGTCTGTGTCCCCATGTCTCCCAGTGTCCACATGTCTCCCAGCCATTGTCTCAGTGTCCCCATGTGTACCAGTGTCCCTATGTCTCCCAGCCAGTGTCCCTAGTGTCTCAGTGTCCCCATGTCGCCCAGTGCCTGTGTCCCCATATCTCCGTGTCCCTAGTATCCCCATGTCTCCCAGTGTCCCCATATGTCTATGTCCACAAGTGCCCCATGTCTCCCTGTGTCCCCATGCCTACCAGCCAGTGTCCCTAGTGTCTGTGTCCTAATGTGTCTCCCTATAACAGTGTCCCCTAGTCTCCCAGTGTATGTGTTCCCATGTCTCTCAGTGCCCCTAGTGTCTTAGTTTCCCCAAATGTTTGTATCCCCATGTCTCCCAGTGTCTGTGTCCCCATGTCTCTGTGTCCCTAGTGTCTGTGACCCCATTTTTCCCAGTGTCCCCAAATGTCTGTGTCCCCATGTCTCCCAGTGTCTCCATGTCTCCCAGGGTTCCCATGTCTGTATCCACAAGTGCCCCCATGTCTCCCAGTGTCCCTATGTCACCCAGTGCCCCAAGTGTCTTAGTGTCCCTGGATCTCTCAGTGTCCCCATGTCTCACTGTGTCCCCATGTCTCTCAGTGTCCCTTAGTATCCTAGTGACACAGGACACACTGAGACATGGGGACACTGGGAGAAATGGGGACACAGACACTGGGAGACTAGGGCACTGGGCGACATGGGGACATTGACACTGTGATACACAGGGACACTGATGCCAGGCTGGCCTTCCAATTCTTTGGACAGACATGCCCCCTATTTGGGCATGTTCGTCCCTTTTGGCAGTTCTGGTCACGTCATTCGCGTCAGTGACCCACCCTTTTACCCTGGCCATTGACTTCCTGCTTCACTGGACACTGCTGTTAGGGGGTATGGATTTACTTGAAAGATGAAAGCATAAATTAGATAAAGAGATTAGCATAGAGTATGTGTTTTTTTATAGCTGCATCCTTTGAGTTTCCCTCCAACACCAACTCCATCAGATACATGACGCTTGAGAGGTATGACTATTTTAGTGTTTTTGGTCGATAAGATTCTGTAATTACGCCCCATCATAATAGTCAGCACCAGACCCACTGGGCTCTTAGTCTGGCTCTGGGTGTAGGTGGTCTGCAATAACCTCTAGGTAGGTGGAACGTGTCAACGTAACATCTACATAAAGACCAGGAACCAAGTTTTACCAGAAAAAACATTGCCCAGAGCATAACACTGCCTCCGCCAGCCTGCCTTCTTCCCATAGTGCATTCTGCTGCCATCTCTTCCCCAAGTAAACGATGCACATGCAAGTTGGGCTACAGTAGCTCTTCTGTGTGGTTGGATCAGACAAGCTTGACTTTGCTCACAATGTGCATCTATGGGCCTTGGGTGTCCATATTTGAACTTTTGGTAGGTGCTATTTTGGTGATGCTCCGACCCAGTTGTCGAGCCATTAGTATTTGCCCCTTGTTAACCCATTAAGGACAGAGGAAATTGTCCAAGTTCTGAACCAATACAAAACCTAGAATTTGAGTTATATGATATTCCAGCACAGATACCCATATTGTGTTCAGCTACATCTGCTGAGTATTACGATACCCCCATTGTATGCCTTTGGCACTATTCTGTGAAGCTACAATGCCATGTAAGAACAACAAAAGAGAATACAATTCGTGGCGCTAAATGTTGCAGCTAAAACACACTGGTGGGAACAATCACAGAAAATCCCACAAAAACAGAAGATACAAACAACAAAAAGTGTGTAGCGCATATACAAAGTTCACACCATATCCTGAATATGTATTGTAATAGAGTGGAAAATCAACTTCTGTATGGTCCAACTCACATTCTCAAGAGCCTTTTCACAAGAAAAACTGGCTCAGGCAGTAGCGTTTAGGGGTATAAACTTGAATAAAATCCAGTAGGTGAAGCTTGAACCTCAAAAAAAGAGGCACAGGAAAGGCATACCGATTAGAAATAAAAGTATAATCATTTATTTAACAAATATATAAAATCTTACATTCATAATGCAGTAATGCTGTTTCCAATAAGCACAACGCGTTTCGACTAATAAATGTCTTCCTCAAGTGCAGTAGTTACATCTAGCTTCACACAAATATTTAAATCCCCCATATTGGCGCGGGAAATGGGTATTGAAGACCCACCCCCTTTGCCCAACAACCAATCAACAATCTCTATGTCCTTAGAGCTTCCCATAGCGCCGCCGTCGCGGCATAATCACTTCCGGTTTCGTGCCGCGGTCTGAACTTCCGGGTCACATGCGTTCCAAGAGCGTCCAAAACTCATCCGCATGCGTTCTACCATGGCGTAATCGCTTCCGGTTTCGTACCCCGGTCAACACTTCCGGGTCGCATGCATTCCAAGGACGTTCCACCATTATTAGATGTACGATCCAGATATCAGAAATAGTCCATATTAGCCATAATTCGGCATAAGTCCATAATTAAATATAAAAGAGAGAACACACATAAAAATATTAAACTATTTAAAAAACAATGATAGATACATAAAGTATATTATTGCAAAAGAATACTATTAAAAATCATAACACCAATATTGCTTAAGAAAAAAAAAATGTCAAAACAACTATAATTATACAAAATCGATAAAACCAAGTAAAAAAATGATTAAATATAATTATACATATCAAAATCAATGTTCAAACCCTGTAGAGAGGGTCTCCACATCAAAGATCCATTTCATCTCTGATTTGTTTTTTAACTTTCTGAATCCCCACAAAGTGCAAACTTTTTGTTTCACCATTGTGCATTTGGTGAATATGTGCAGACACCGAGTGATTCAAGACCCCCTTTTGTGCATTTCTCAGATGTTCACCAATTCTAACTTTAAGGGGTCTTGTTGTCCGCCCAACATACTGGAGGCCACAAACACATGTTAATAAATAAATAATATTACTAGAATTACGTGTAATAAACTCTTTAATAACATATTCTTTTTTAGTTACATTAGAATAAAATTTCTCAGTTTTTCTAGTTAAAATTCTACTATTATAACAGGCCTTACAGCTCCCGCAATTATAAAAACCTTTCAACTCGTTTCCATGTACATCTTTATTTCATTGAGTACCTCTTGGAATAAAACTATGAGTTAAAATATTTTTTAAATTGTTGGCACCCCTATACACTACCCGCGGCTTCTCCCTCATAAAAAAGAGGAGATCTTCATTTTGTCTAAGGATGTGCCAATGTTTATTTAGAATTTTATGAAAAGTATTATTTTGAGAATTAAAATTACAAATAAAAGAAACTTGTTCATTTTTTGTGTTATGATCTTTCTTTTTATACTTTAGCAAATCTTCTCTAGGTTTTAAACATACTTCTTTATATTGTTTCTCCACATTGTCTTTCCTATATCCTTTTTGATAAAATTGTTGTTTTAAAAACCCAGATTGTTCTACAAATGTCTGCTCCTCCGTACAATTTCTTTTTAGCCTCATGAACTGGCTTTTTGGAATGTTGGAGAGCCACACTTTAAAATTACAACTATCTCTGTCGATGTACCTGTTGGAGCTTTATAAATGCTTTTGATAAATAAAATAAACATTGGTATTCATTTTGTCAGGTATAATGTTACAAAAAGGAGGGGAGTCATCAATATAAAAAAACAGATAAAAATGGAATGTATTTTTTGCTTTAAAATGTATTTATTATTTGCATTTGAATGCAACAGAATGCCTTTAACAGCCAGCAATACAATACCTACATACTACAGTCTTATTGTATCTAAAGTACCCTGCATACATTTGATCTGTTTACAGTATGCATAGTGATATTTAGAATTTCACAGCAAATGCAGGTTCTACTGACTGTGATTCTCTGGGTCACATTGCCCCCTGCTGTTCCCAACAAGGTGCTTCCTGCTTCTCACGTGACATTCTGTTGCTTGCCACATGATACCTTCTGGTTACCCTAGAAACCAGAGCATGTTCAGTCTCCTAGCAGTGGCTCAGTGGAGGATTGCTGGTAGTATTCTGAGACGCAGGATCCTGTAACAGGGTAAATATGAGTGATAGTGGAGTGTGTGCATTTTTGTTTCTAAATATATATATATTTTTGCTATACTTACAACCAGGCAAATGTAATCTTAGAGATGAAGAGCAGGATATGAAAAAGAGTTAAAAAATAAAATAAAAACGTGAAAGGGTATTATTATTATGGACTATATTGTATTTTATAAGGGAAAATATTTTATTTACTGAAAGAACTATAAGCTTTATGCAAATAATATTGTTGGTAGAAAAATACATATTTTATTTCCATTCCATTACATACGATCTCAGCCACAGATGATTACTGGATCACATACGATCTCAGCTATAGATGATTACTAGTTAAACTTTGTAGCTCACTTTTAAAATAAGTGGTGAGAATATTAATGACAGGCAGAATTTAAATATAAAAATTTAGATTGTGAGTTGATATATATGATTTAGGTTTGATGTACCTTACTAAATGTCTTATTCTGCGCCATTATTTTAAGTCTGTATTAGAATGGGTCAAATACTAGCAGTTTTAGGGGTATACATACAGTAAGGAACCCTCAAAAATATATATTTTTTAAATGGGAAGGAGAAAACATGGCTGCCTGCATATTTGGAAAATGAGAAAAAAATTGTGACCTCACCTATTTGTTTTCAGTAAAGAGTAAAAAAAAAAAGGAGTGCAAAGAAACAATAGTAAATAACCATACTCCCCAATTATTGCAGGAGAACACCCAGGAGGTGATTAAAACATCATAAAAAAACAATCCAACAAGGCGCATGCACAGGGAGAAGACAAATATAGTGAAGTATGGTATTGCTAATGATAAATAAACCCATGGACATGCTAATGTATAGACATTAAAGTCAAAATAAATAACCTGCTGGTTGTAACTTCGGCAGTATAATCACATCCAGACTTTCAATAAAAGCTTAAAAACCCTACAGATGCATGTGTCACTTGGGGTAACCCAACATCTCACACAAGATAATACCAAAGACTATACACTAATTACAGAGAGTCCATGGAAGTCCATGGAGAGAGTCCATGGAAGTTCTAATGGGTCCCTTGTGAACTTGTAATCACCTCAGTATAGGATTTTTCTTTTTTTTTTTTGTCTTATACTTAAAGCAGCACTGTCATGCCGAACTTACCTTTCCTCAATCTCTTCCTCTTCTCCCCCTCTCTCAGGGTCTGTTCTTCTTTTCTTCCTGTCTTCTTTAGGTTTCTTTAAAATCATAAGACAAAGTAGGGATTCTTTGCCTTATGGAGGATTCCTCCGCTTGACCAGCTCTGACCAGCAGAGGAGCAAAGTGTGTTTCATTTCCGCTGGTCAGAGCAATTTTCCCATGATCCTTACCTTTCCTCTGTGTTCCCGCGATGCTTCCTGTCACTTTACACGAAACTGCCGAATTGCGTTCTAACCGAATGAGAACAGTATGTTCGTTTCTTTTAGAACTCAATTCGGCATTTTGTTCGGATCGCAATTTCATTCGAATGAATGAAACTCTGATCCTATTCATTGCCGCAGCTGCATCTTGCAGCCGCTTAGTAGATAACTCCCTAATTTCCAAGGTATCAGAGTTATCTACTAAAAGGCTGAAAGACCTAAATTGGTCTTTCAGCCACATTTACTGATACTAAGTAAAGGTTACTTAGTATTAGTAAATAATATGCCCCTACTCGCTATACCGCGAGTAGGGGCATGTCTGGTAAACAGTGAGCAGCCTGTGGCTCTGTGTCATTTTACACAGCGTGGGAAAATTCTTTTGAATTTTCCTACGCTGTGTAAAATGACACAGAGCACTCTGATTGGCTGATTGGCTTAAATCAGAGTGTTCTTAGCCTAATTGCAGGGCGGGGCAAGGCTTTATAAGCCTTCCCCTGCCCTGCGGAGCTCAGTCTGCGCGGAGCCCTCCATGAGTGAAGATGGATTTTTTTTTGCGCTCGGGTTTTTTCTTTTTCGTCTGTTTTTTTTTTTTTGCGCTCAGGATTTTTATTTTATTTTAAATTCGACGGTTATGATGGTTTTTTATTTGGCCTTTTTTGTGGCTGAAAAATTAAGATTTGAGAAAAAAGAAGACGTCGAATGGTAAGTTTAATTTTATTTTACAGGTTAGTTATTTTATTCCCCCCTCACTATTTTTTAGGGTGAGGGGGGTAGGTAGGGACTTTTTATTTGGGTTGGGGGGTGGGTGACTAGGGGCTTGGGGACCCCTAGTCACCTTGGGGGGGGGGGAATGACTTAGGGCCCCCCACACGCCGCCCAGGGGTGGGGGCCGGAGGGGGTGGACAGTAGGTCCCCCCCTCATTATCATTATGGTCCCCACCTGCCGGGCAGGGGTAGGGGGCCGGGGGGGGAGCCCCCCTCATTATCATTATGGCCCCCACCCGCCGCGCAGGGGTGGGGGTCAGGGGGGAGGACAGTAGGTGTCCCCCCCTCATTATCTTTATGGCCCCCACCCGTGCCCAGGGGTGGGGACCGGAGGGGGGGCAGTAGGTCCCCCCCTCATTATCATTATGGCCCCCACCCGCCGCCCAGGGGTGGGGGCCGGGCGGGCAGTAGGTCCCCCCCCTCATTATCATTATGGGTCTCCCCCCTTATTTTATTTTAGGGCCCCCACCCGTTGATTTTAATCTCCCTTATGCTATTATGGGGATCATATTGACCCCCATAGAGTGAGGAGGTACATGGGGGGGTTTAGGAAGTGTCGGGGAGCATAGCTCCCTGCTACTTCTATCTTTACATATTACAAGGAGAGAGCTGTATGCCGGTAGCTCCCTCCTTGTAATAAACTGAGCGAACAAACAAACACAGATACACAGTGTTTGTATGTTCGGCTGACATTTCTAGTCATTCGTCTTTCTGATGAATGAATGAATAGATGAAATTCCCGTTCGCATGTCCAGGTGTTTCACAGGGCATGTGCGGGAATCTCACAGGCTATCTAATGTGGGCAGATGACGTGTCCCACAGGGACTTCATCTACCCACACAAAGATGGCGGCGCCCTGAATATAGATCGGGGCAGAAAATAAGGAATAAAAAATAGGTAATGTGGGAGGCTTAGGGGCATTTGGGGGTGACTAGGGTGTCAATTAGATGTAGTGAAGGCAGGAGGGGGGTTTAAAAAAAACCAAAAATAAAAAAGGATTCGGCATCACAGTGCCGCTTTAATTAAAGTGAACATGTCTTGGCAAGTTCACTTTAAATGCCAACAGCTACTTACGCAAAGAACATGTAATTTATTAGACAATAGTGACATTGAAATATTTTAACACCACCCCCTACCAGATTGGGTCTACTTGGGGAGCACAATGCAATCAGTGACTGTCCCTCTTTTCTTACATTGCCCTATATAAGTATTCACACAGAACCTCTGACAGCTTTACATTATGCAATGCTACAACTTGGAATTAAAATAGATGTTTTTTTTTGTTTTTACTGTTAGGTTATACATCCTAACTTACACTTAACACGGGCACAATATATATATATATATATATATATATATATAATTATTATTTTTTTTTTTTTTTTACAGAGACACATGAAAACAGACTTAGAAATAGAGCTGTTTTTCAGCAGTTAAAACTGTGAGCCTTATTGGGTTTAAAGGACAACTTTCAACTCAAAACTGTTTTTTTCTATGTAATAACTAATCTATATATATATTTAGAAATTCATCCCTACCCTTAGTATATGACAGGACCATTCAGCTATATATTGGATCGGACAGTGTTTGAAATCTGACTGTTTGTATATATGGTTTTGTCTCCCAATTTCCTTTTGGAAAACTCCAAATGTAATTTACCGTAATTAGGATTTTTTTTTTAGCAATGGCTTAGTTCTCACCACTTGTTCACAAACTCAGCTTTGTGGAAATCCTGGATGAAATCACTGTGTATCTCGTCAGCTTCTTTTTGTGCTTGAGAAAAGAGAGTTATAAAGTGTGTGATAAAGGCACTAAATTATAATAGCCAGCTGCTACAAACCTCTGTGTGACCAATTTTTGAAAATGTTCAACACTGCAGATTCACCACCCTAACAAATGTGAATTATGTGTTCAAAAAATATAACCAATACTATAACCATATGTAATGCCTGTTGTATTTTGGTTATTTTCGTGGAAGACCCTGCATACATAAAAGAAAAAAAAACCAAATACAAACAGTAAAAGGCCAAACATTATAACGTTATCCAAATACTTATAAATACCTACTTATATAAAGATTGAGTTAGCATTTAGATAATAATTAGATTTTTTTTATTGTTGTAAGTAGACTTTATTCCACTATTTCTTTTTTCTCTGTCAGATTTGACTTTGGCCTCTTATTTTTCCAAATAATTTGCCCCTTACCCATTGGTGAGTTTTGGTGAATGACATTCTATAGGTAGAGTAGTAGTTTTACACATCTATTTCTATTTTCCAAAAATGAATTTAACAATGCTCCTTGGTCTTCATGATGCTCTTTGTTTATATATACACTCTACAATAAACTCAGAGACCTTCCAGAAACAGGTGTATTTATTTTGAGATCATATTACACTTTAAATGGTTATGGCACCTGGACACAGTTCACTGGTAAATTAATTAACATTGAATGGTTTAACACTGAATGAGTCTCCACGGATGGCCGCCACCTAGTCCCTCTCTGTTGCTCAGGCTAATGCTTCCACATTACAATGGGCAGCAGTGATAAGCCAAGATAGTATAATGAGCATTGGCTAATGCAATGCTACTTTTCATCTTAGTCATACCTCCAGCAGGTTGAGACACGGGCAACAGGGACCTTCATTCAGTGCTAACGTGTTCAAATTAGTTTAACACTGAAAAGTGGGGTGGTGCCAGGGGATTCCAGACACCATATCCACTTAAGTGATATAACATGGTTATAGTGCCTAGAATGTCCACACAGGTTCAACTAATTATAAATCTGGAAGGTAATTTAGTTGCACAGAGGTTCAACTAATTATATGCAACAGAGCTTATCTAGCAGTTAGGATGTATGCCAGTAAATCAAATTCTAAAAATCCCAGTAAAATCCATTTTAATTCCACATCTGAGGTGTGATTACATGTACAAGCCATTGTGTTAGGAGAGACAATTTTTAAGTAATCTGCTATCACAATGTATAGATAAAATGTTACACACTTTAGTTTGAACATAAGTTACATAAAAAACATTTACTATTTTAGAATGGCTTAATTTCTTACATGGGGTCTATCCCTGTCTCTACTATTTCCGACAGAGAGCTTTAAGACCTTCTGAGCTACATGCAGCAGTGCAGAGCTTCTCTCATTGGCTGAGAGCGATTTGCCCAATAAGCTAGCCTTGCATTGCAAGGCTTAGCTCAGGAGAGCTTCCAGCTCTCTGTTACTAGTAGTAGAGATGGGGAGTGATTGCAAGCAGACCTCAGCTAACAAGTCAAACCGTTTTAAAATGCACTGTAGTAGTTATGGTGCTTGGAGAGTTCATTGAGTGAGTTCAGTTTGACATATTGCATTCTACTCTGTTTCTCCCTGAGGGAATCCCATCATTCTTGTGTTGTAACTAACAACATAGCATTTTTTTAAGTTGATGTGGCCATAGAGCCAAATTGTGAGTGAAATTAACACCATTTGGCATATCACAAATTGTTATATCTAAATTTGCCACGTTGTATGCTATGAATTTGAATGCTATGAATTTCACATTCTTTATTGTAAATACTATATATGTTTTAGTGCAGGAGTAGGCAACCTACATTGCAACTGAATTCTTGCACTATAAATTTGTATTTATGCTCTTAAATATACTTATTTCACTTTATTCAACTTATCTCACAGCACCAAAAGCCACTTTATTCATCTCACTTCTTTGTCCTGGCACAATTTTTGTCCTTCACTAACCTCCACAACATGTGACAAACTCTTCTTCCTTGCTCTTACTGAACCTTGTGACTATTTCTTCTACTGTAAGATTGTTATCCCCACTGACTGATTTGGATATTTCTGCTCTTCCTTTTGATCATCCCTCTAGGTTTTTACTGTGAGCTGGTTTGAACAGGGCCCTTGTTATTTCTTTTTCCTAAATGTTGTCATTTCTTATATATGTTGTATATCTGTAGTACATAGCTGCAGTATCTGTTGGTGATTAATATATTATTAATATCAGTGCTCTCTTTAATGCTGTTTGGGATCTATGTAATTTCCCCCTCACATTACATTTGAGTACAACTTACACTAATAAAACATAGATGATGAGATCAGTTAACAGCAGCACTATAGAAATTAAGAACATATTTCTTAATAGGCCTACAGCAGCTGAAAAGCTGGTTGTCAAAAGGGAAGAGTTAAAGGGACACTATAGTCACCCAGACCACTTCAGCTCAGTGAAGTGGTCTGGGTGCCAGGTCCCTCACATTTTAACCCTTTAGATGTAAACATAGCAGTTTCAGAGAAACTGCTATGTTTACATTAGGGGTTAAGCCAACCTCTAGTGGCTGTCTTCCTGACAGCCGCTAGAGGTGCATCTGCAACGCTGTATGCAAATTTCACATCAATCGCCCAGAGCGTCCATAGGAAAGCATTGAGAAATGCTTTCCTATGGACTTTTAGAATATGCGCGCGCGGCTCTTGCCGTGCATGCGCATTACACTCCACTCGGAAGCTGATATCGGCGGGGGAGGAGAGGTCACTGCTGGTAAGGTAAGCTGCTGAAGCGCTTTTAACCCCTACAGCACCACGGGAGGGGGACTCTCAGGGTGGGGGCACCCTCAGGGCACAATAGTGTCAGGAAAACAACTTTGTTTTCCTGACACTATAGTGTTCCTTTAATATGTCAAAGGAGAAAGAAAAAGAAGCTATACAGGAAGGGAAGGGGGGAGACAAATGAGGGTAAATAAAGAGTGTGGCAAAGGGAATAGAAATTTTGAGATTGATGGAGATATCATGGGGAGAAAAAGACTGGAAGATCGAAAAATGGAGAGGGGAAAAGCAGCAGAAGGGAGGAAATGGGCTTGGCAAGAAAGAAGAAAAATCTCACAGGCTGGGACCTTACTTATAATCTTACTTGGTTATTTTGGACAAAATGGATCATTGTGTACAAGATATGGGCCCTTGGTAGCCCATGTGTAATGGGCAGTTGTCTCTTTTTGTTAGTGATAAAGAAGACTACTATAATATGTAGAAAGTAGAATTATTACAACCACATACTTGGTTTTTAACAGATTTACTATGCTTCAAAGAAACAGTAATATTGTTACATAACGGTTCTTGTTTTTATAACTCTTGCTATGCAATCTAGATTAGGTCAAGTGTCAGCCACTGCACGTTACAATGTCTATGACTCAGACCTGGCAGTCTAATGATGCACGACTGAATACCCTTGCTCGTCACAAGGAGGACCTTCTGTTACACTGGAATAGGTAGGTCAGTACAAAAGTGCACCAAGCATTTTACTGAGTAATGACATTTTCTGTAAAATAATACAACTGCAAATATACAGTATAACTGACCCTTATATATAGTAAAGATTTATATATGTTTTACCATCTTTTTTTTCTGTTGTGTTCCATCTCATCAATGGGTCTATGTCACTGATCTTTCCATGTTATAGATCTTCCTTTTTTTCTTGTTTTTCCATATTGTATATGTCTCTTCTTTACATCTGTCTTTCTCTGCCTTTTGCTGTATTTTATACCTTTATCTTGGATTCTGTCTCTGAGTCATACTGTAATGGACTCATTTTTACCACTGTATAACTACCTGTTTCTCATATATCTCTTCCAGTACTCTCCCAATTTTACTTCAGCTTGGCCATTGTAACGGCATTATTACTTCCCTTTTTCTGTGTGAAATTTAACCTTCTGTTTATCTGCCTTCTTTTCCCTGAGCCCCTATATTAGGTTTATTTACTTCTGAGTCCCTTTACATCTCTGATTTGCTCCTTATGACTGCATTTGCATCCCCATTAGGCCTGTTGTCGCTCCCTGTGACGGTGCATCCCCCTTAAGTCCTGGGTATCTGTTCCCCTTCCATGACTGCTTCTACCATCCCAACTCCTTTTTATTTTACCTGTTTTTTTTTTTTTTTTAAATCTCAAATTTTTATTTTACCTTACTTTATTTTTCTTATGTTTGAGATTTTTGGTTTCTCTGTATCTCTAACTGTAAACAACCATTAGTAATTAACCTGGACTCAACCTTAGCATTATCATTGCTTATTTAGAGTAGAACTGTCACCACTGAATAAAACATTTTGTTTAGAAATGTAACTCGTGTTAACATTTTTCTTGTGGTGCTTAGTTTTCTTTTAAAATGTTATTAAAGATTTAAGCTAAGATATCACAATCCTGTTCAGGCACATACAGGGCACACAATGCTAATGAGGTGGAGACTAAAACATTGTTTAAGATTCTGTCTTCCACTATCTATGTTCAATGTCAGAAAAGGGCAACATTTAGAACAGTGATTAACAGGATGCCAAGATGGAGATGCCCATTTCTAGGATGGATGTGTTGATTTCTACATATAATTTTATTTTGCAGAATTGACAGAAAACCTGCTTGCTAAATATAAGTGATAAGTAAAGGAGACAATACAAATCCTGAGTTGTGACTGTTGCAAATTTGGAAACTTGCTAAAGTGGTCCAGGATCTAAAATGTTAAAGAATAAAACTTATGTTAAACAATAATGTTTTTACATGTGCACCAATATTTTATGCTTATCATTTGAGGAGGGTGTGCATATGAATATCTTATACAAAGGTCACACAAAATAAAAGGCCTTCATGTAACTGTTATTTACATTTTTTTTTCCTATAACATCTCATATTACCCATCCCAATTATGTTATTAATCAATATAACCCAAGTAATAGCATTTTAATAATATATTCCCATATAACACCACTCTATATTTTTTCTGCCATTAGTTTTGTATAATCTACCAAGTCTTTCAATTGTTTACTCATAGCAATGCATCTCATTGATATACCCAAGGCTCCCATATAAAATATGTTAATGTTAATATATGCCGTAAATGTAAACTCTTCTTTTTGATGTAACTTCAGACTGTAATGTTGGTTTGTATTACATAATAGCCATTTTTTTTTGTTATAGTTTTAACACCTGTACAATCTCTTTATTTTTTAACCTCAATTATTTTTTTAAAATGCTTGTTCACAATCTCCAGGGCTAATCACATTTAGAAGTCATGTTGTAAAATATAAATAACAGTACCCAGATTGACAATTACAGTTATTATTTGGTGCTGGGTACACATTATTTTGTATTATTGTCATTTAATTATAGCCTATTAATCACAGATCCCGACAGAGTACAATAGCACTATAATGAGACGTGACCCTTAATAACAAGCATTCTAAATGCCAGGATGCTGCAAAAACCTGTTATTATCGTGTCAATCTCTTATTTCCCTTGCAACCCCCATCTTCTTCACAGCACAAAGAAGCAGCAGCTAGCAAATTGATCTCAGCCCTAAACAGTTTATGAGGTGACAAAATGCAGCATCCTCAATTTAAAAAATATATATTAGGTACCATTAATATAATGAATGAATATTACAATGGCTTGAAGTAATATTCTACAATTCTTAACTAGAACAAATCTGGCTTTCCGTAGCTGTAATATTAAAATATAAAATGCATCCAATATATAAAAGTCAACACATACGAATACTATAATGTTAGGAATACAGATTTGTAATTGCAAAACATTCAAACAAAACAAAATTAGAACGTTAAATACCTTTTTAAATATTCCTTGGGGTTCTGCTTTGTGAGTCTGCCTACCAGGTACAGAATCCACTCACTCACATAATGATGACATCTTAATACAGGAAGTCAACCATTATAATAAAATAAAAATCAAATACAGAAATAAAGATACATTTAAGTGAATTCAGTGATTATATCATAATACATATATATATTTATATTTGTTTTATTCAAAAGAAAATTGTACAAATAATAAGCAAACACTGATGACATCATCGTGTCTCACAGGTCACATAATCAAAAGAGTAAGGGAAGAGGTAAAAAAAAGAATGGAAAAAATAGTAAAAAATCAGTTATTCTAAGTATAGGGAATAGAATATGAGATTATAAAGAAAACTGGCCAAACAAAAACACTTGAAAACAAGTGATGACATAATTGCAATCAAGACCAACTTAGGTCAAACAGATTTCCAGAAGAGCAAAGTAGACACTTATGCTTCAGAGAGGAGAACCCTCCTCCTACTAACACAATTGAACCAGACCTCCCAATTGTCCTTGTTTTGGCAGGACAGTCCCAATTTTAGGGACACCAGTGAACCGTCTCTAAAAAGCATAGTGCAAGATGCACTTGCACTATGTTCAGGGCTTTAGAACCCTGCAGAGAAAAGCACAGATGTGCATTCATACTAGCCTAACCTGATAAACCACCAGACAGAACAATAAAAATCCCTTTGAGTGACACCAGTGATGCAGTTTGTGTCACTTGCCTGCCCCTGCACATCTGTGTCCTTATGTTCGGTATGCTGTTTCCTTTTGAATTGTTGGACCTTGTTTTCAAAAATACTATTTGCTAGTTCGCAAGTTAGCTGAAAGCTTAGGGCACATCAGAATCTTTCTTCCTAGGCTACTCACAGCAAGTTTGTGTGTCCCCTTGACATAATTTAAAACTAAATTCACTAAATAAACTTAAAGGAATTCAAAGCACCTCCACTTTAAAGGACCACTATAGTGCCAGGAAAACATACTCGTTTTCCTGGCACTATAGTGCCCTGAGGGTGCCCCCACCCTCAGGGACCCCCTCCCGCCCGGCTCTGGAAGGGGGAAAGGGTTAAAAACTTACCTTTTTCCAGCGCTGGGCGGGGAGCTCTCCTCCTCCGATCCTCCTCTTCTCCTCCTCCTGGGCTGAATGCGCACGCGCGGCAAGAGCTGCGCGCGCATTCAGCCTGTCGCATAGGAAAGCATTTACAATGCTTTCCTATGGACGCTTGCGTGCTCTCACTGTAATTTTCACAGTGAGAAGCACGCAAGCGCCTCTAGTGGCTGTCAATGAGACAGCCACTAGAGGATTAGGGGGAAGGCTTAACCCATTGATAAACATAGCAGTTTCTCTGAAACTGCTATGTTTATAAAAAAAAATGGGTTAACCCTAGAAGGTCCTGGCACCCAGACCACTTCATTAAGCTGAAGTGGTCTGGGTGCCTAGAGTGGTCCTTTAATGCTTTTTAATACAGAGTCCCCTAAAATGTGGTATGTATTCTGATAAGTGTAAAAAGAAGCCATACAATATTAGTGGGCATAGATGGAAAACAATACACTTATATCATCTTATTGAATTGAAAAGCTGTCATAGTATACCTTAAGAATAATTAATGTTTTGTATTTACAGGCCTTCTGTATACTGGCCAGAAAGGACACATTCAATAACTTCCTGTGGTAAGCCACTTGCTGCTATGTTTTACCTGCCTTCTGCGCAATTTCTGAATTATCAATGAAGAATCCAGATTCAAAAAAGGGGTGTAATAAATGTTAAATTGGATTTTCACATTAAATTTAAAGTGACACCTGTAAATTTGATGATCAATTTGAGTAAATTCAGTGAGTGATCTGAACTCATCCCTTATTAATGCAATCAAAATGATACTCAGAGGTAGTAAAGTGAACTCGGGGGGTTCTAGAGGTATAAATGGTTTCTTTGCAAGATCTGACAGGTTTTTGTCAGCTCAGACAATTTGGTGAACTCTAGACTTGTTAGGCAAATTTCGAGTGAATCGATTTGTTCATCTATAGTTTGACAGGCATTTGATGCATTCAGCGCACCTGAAAGAAATTTGTGCACACGTTACTGTTTTTAAATAGTAAGTCGTGGTTGGGGCTTTAGTTTCGACCACTTAAAGGGGCACTGTCATGCCGAACTTACCTTTCTTTAATCGATTCCTCTTCTCTTCCTCTGTCAGGATCTGTTTTGCATTTCTCTTCTGTCTGCTCTAGTTTTCTTTAAAACATAAGAGAAAGTGGAGGTTTCCTATGCCTGACCATCTATGACCAGCGGAGGAGCAAAGTGTGCTCCATTTCCTGTGGTCAGAGAAATCTTCCCACAATCCTCACCTTTCCTCCATGTTCTCGCGATGCCTCCGTTCTGTATTCCCAAACGCCGACAAAACTACTGAATTTCGTCCTAACAGAATGAGAGCAGTTCATCCATTCGTGTTAGGATGAAATTTGGGACTTTTGTTCTGATCGGAATTTCATTCATGAATGAAATTCTCATCTATTCATGCCGTGGCTGCATCTGGCAGCCACTTAGTAGATAACTCCCTAATTCCCACGTTATTGGGGAGTTATCTACCAAAAGGCTGAAAGACCAAGATTAGTGGGGCATCTCTTAACTAGCCTGGGGGGTGACATAGTGTCACCACGAGCCCCCACCCGTGCCCCACGAGTGGGAGCTATTCAAGTAAACAGGGGAGATAGGGTCCCCCTTGGCCTACACCCATGAGCGTCGGGTGGGGGTCCTAAATGAAAATGAGGGGGGGGGGGACACCTATTGTCCTCCCCCTCCGGCCCCTACCCATGAGCGGTGGGTGGGCGCCCTATATTACAATAAGGGGGAGGACCTGTTTTCCTCCCCCCCCGAACCCCAACCCTGAGCTCATGGGGGCCCTATAGTACAATTGTCGTCCCCTGGCCCCCACATCCTAAAACTGTGGCAGCTGGAAGGAAGGGTTAGAGTGGTCAGGCCCAAGGAGACAATGGTTTAGCCCTGAAGGTATGTCGGCAGCCAGACACTTCTGCCTCCATAACATCTTCATTGAGTTGAAGTAGGTAAGGAGGTCCTTTAACATTAATCTATATCCTCAATACTTAAAGGGACACTATAGTCACCAAAACAACTTTAGTTTAATGAAGCAGTTTTGGTGTATAGAACATGCCCCTGCAGCCTCACAGCTCAATTCTCTGCCATTTAGGAATTTAATCGCTTTGTTTATGAACCCTAGTCACACCTCCCTGCATGTGACCTGCACAGCCTTCCTAAACACTTCATGTAAAGTCATCTAAAGTTTATCCTTTCTTTATTGCAAGTTCTGTTTTATTTAGATTTTCTTATCCTCTGCTATGTCAGTAGCTTGCTAGACCCTGCAAGAGCCTCCTGTATGTGATTAAAGTTCAATTTACAGAGCCGGAGATAAAATTGTTTAAGGTAAATTACATCTGATTGAAAGGGAAACCAGTGTTTTTTTCTTGCAGGCTGTGTCAATCATAGCCAGGGGAGGTGTGGCAAGGGCTGCATAAACAGAAACAAAGTGATTTAACTCCTAAATGGCAGTGAACTGAGAAGTAAAACCTGAGAGGCATGATCTATACACTAAAACTGCTTCATTAAGCTAAAGTTGTTTAGGTGACTATAGTGTTCCTTTAAAGAAGCCCTCCGGGCACCATAACAATTTCATTGTAATTTTCAATCAGTAATTTTCCGAATTGAAGTCTGACATTCAGAGGCAGTGGATGGGCAGAGGGATCGGGTACCCATCATCCATACTTTGCGTTAAACTGTTTGTTATCAGTTTAACCCGTTAAGGAAAGATCGCACCCAGGTTCTCCTCGCACTACAACAACTTCATTGAGATTAAGTTGTTATGGGGCCTAGAGTGTCCTGTAACTTCTTTAATCAAATGCCTTATCGTAATCACCAACACCAAACCCTTACCTTCTCCTTTATACTTAATGTCCAACATTCCTTACTTTTAATTGGTAACTCCAACCTTTTTCCATTAAATGTTTTTTTTACAATGCCTTGTTGGGTATTAATAAATAGGTCTCACTCCCTATCAACTTTTAAAAACAAGATTAAACTTACCTGATATCCAGCACCAGGAGATGCTCCCCGCACTGGTTCCCACCTCCCACCCCCTGACATTGTATGTGTTCGCACTGAGCAAGAAACTGGAGGGAAACGGGAAGACTGGTGGGGAAAGAGGGCACATTGAAGCTTCCCCTTGCAGGAACTGTCTGCAAGGGTAGAAGGTGACCACCTCTGTTGCCAGCATGCAGTTTGTGCTCATGACATATGTTTGTTTTGCACATTAGGCAATACTGTATAGAGTGCAACTAGCCCCAGGCGCAGAAGTGAATATATCTCTGAATGTGCAACATGTCAAGTACATACAGTCTCCTACCACCATGACAACTTCGAAACACAGAAGTGGTCATGGTGGTTGGAGTAACCCTCCATTACTAATGCTAATGCTAGCCCCTGGTCCTAATTTCTATCTTTTACTATAGGTATTAGATAACAGTGGATACCTTAAACGTTAAATTAAAATACAACAGCTAAAAGCTATGCCTCTTTGATATAATAGATAGACCCGAGCAAAGAAACAGGGAAAATAAAGTGTTGCATGTCAGGATGTGTATCTGTCAGAAGAGGGGAAACTCCATCTCAGTGGTTTAAATGGTATTCTCTAACAGTCCTTTGACCCTATTATTAGAAGTATCTATTCTGCTTAAATCAGATCTTTCTGTCAGTTTCCCTTACACTCATCACTGTTATGTCTGTGACTTTTTTGTTCAACATGGCATGGCATTGCATTACATTGTAAACAGGGACTAATTTTTTGAATAGATTATAAAAGTATTAGCCCAATAACGCCTTCACTGCAAAGTGACCAGAAAAGAATAGATATTTAAGAATACCCATTTATAATATCGTAATCACCAACACCAAACCCTTACCTTCTCCTTTATACTTAATGTCCAACATTCCTTACTTTTAATTGGTAACTCCAACCTTTTTCCATTAAATGTTTTTTTTACAATGCCTTGTTGGGTATTAATAAATAGGTCTCACTCCCTATCAACTTTTAAAAACAAGATTAAATTGATTCATTAGCTTGTGCATTTGAGCCTTATGTGATGCAAAATACTCTGACACCAGTAGTACAGCAGAGGCGCATATACAAGTCCCCCACGGGGTGTAAGGCGATTTCATTGTAACACTTTAGTTGTAGAAAGGCATGTAATTAGATAGGGGCTTCATCATGTGTATTAGACCCTTTAAAATAGAGTTTAGACTGCCCCTCACCCCTAGACTTAACTATGCCACTGGCTTTTTAATGACAAGTCTAGTACTACAATAACTTCTTATTTAGTCAACATTTATCCAAGTCAGATTTGTATCATTGTATAATTTAACTAACATGTAAATAATTGGAAAGGATACACTTTGTACGCCTTTATATCTTTCTTCCCTAGGTGAAGAAAGTCACAAATCCAAGGCTTAATGTCTATTTGGTATAAAAATTAGAAGCATACTATCAATACAGAATACCAGTGCAGTGTTGATGAATACTAGATGCTGCAAACAATAATTATACTGTAGTACAGATATGATGCTTGAAAGATATTATTGTTCGCTGTACGTACAAGCATGGTAGGTAGCCGAGGAAGTATATTAATTTTTTGAGTTTTATGAAGCACTAATAGCACTTCAGGCTTGTACTGTCAATTTATTATTTAAGATCTCCAGGATTAAGTCCTTGTTTCAAGCATAAATATTGATGCATTTTCTAAACCTATCCTTGGTTCCTTTACATCAGGGGTTCTTGAAGGAGACAGTCAATTTCCATGTTTTTTAATATTTTGTTTACGTATCCGAGACATTTAACAAATACATTTTTAGTTAGCTTGAGTGTGCATTGTACCCAGTTTAACTTAATGCGAAGAGTGGCGATATCCTTATAGTGTCATGAGTGCACCTGACTGTTTGACCTGTGGTGGCGGGTATGCAGCATAGGGATATAGGCTCGGACTGTTGTTGTTTTTGTCGTTGTTCCCCGGACTCTAATTGGTAACTCTAATTAAGGCTGCGTCGCTTTCTCAGCGTGGGTATCAGACGAGCAGAGTTGTATCTGGTGATCCAATAAAGCAAAACCGAGTTTCCATAGTGGGGTGCTTGTCTGACTCTAGGGTGCCAGGTGACCATGAGTGGTGCTGAGATAGTCGCACCATGGTTGCCATGTGGTTGTGTATGTGGAGTATTTGTCTGTGAGGGAGAGGCATGTCTCCTCTAGACCCCTAATAGTGTCGACTTTTTGTATCCATTCTCGGATGGATGGTGGATGTGGGTGCTTCCATAGTGCTGGAATAAGTTGGTTCGCTGCAGAAATCAGGTGTGTCAGTAGGCCTGCTGTCGATTTTGGTATGTTTCGGGGGGTGATCAGGAATAGAAAAAGTTCCGGGGTAAAGGGGACATGGGTAGATCGAATCGACTGTATCGTCCCATGTATGCGCTTCCAGTAGTGTTGGATCACCGGACAAGACCACCCGATGTGGAGTGGTGTTGCCTTCGGGTGCATGACACCTCCAACATTGGTGTGGGTGTGTTGGAAATAGGGATCATAATTTTGTCGGGGTGTAGTGCCATCTCACTACCGTTTTGTAGTTACTCTCTTGGATTGTGGTGTTTCTAGAGGACCTATGGATATGTGTGAATACGGCGCGCCACGTTTCTGGTGTGAAAGATGTGTTTAGTTCCTTTTCCCAGGACGAGGTAAAGGCCGGTGGATGGTGAGGCATTGTTTTAGTGATCTTTGTGTACATCTCTGAGATGACTTTCTTCTTTAAGGTATGTTCTTTGCAAAGTGTTTCTAATTGTGTGTAAGGACGGACAGGATTATGTGCCAGTGGCCCTGTGAGAAGGAAGTGTGAGAGTTGTTTGTATTGAAATGTTTGCAGTACAGTGTGACCCTCTGTTGTAGTTTGCAATGGTTTCACCTGAGTTCCCGTGTCGTCTACAACCTCGGCGAGGCGTAGGTAGTGTGAGTCATGGTATTGCTTGAATGCCCTCCCATCCTCTCCCGGTTGAAAGAGAGGGTTGTGTGTTATTGGATATAACGGGGAAGGGTAAGGTGACATTGTCTGGTGAGTCCTTATCTTGGCCCACATTTGTAAGGTTGGTGAGATTGTGGGATGTGGGGAGTGCAATAAAAATGGCAGTCCTGATTTGTGCCATGGTATTGTGAAGATGTGAGTCCTGAAGAAGGTGTTTTCTATGTGTATCCATTGTTCTGTAGGGTGTGGGTGTGTCCAGTCATACAGTCTGGTCAGAAGGACTGCTTGGTGATATCTCTCTAGGTCTGGGAGGCCTAGGCCCCCTTCGTCCTTTGGTCGTGTGAGGAGTGAGTAGGCAAGCCTTGGGTTCTTGTGTGCCCAGATGTAGGTCGTAAGGGTTTTCCGGACCGTTGTGAACCATGACTTAGGTAGGAGTCGTGGCAAAACATTCATTTTGAGAATGTTCAGCCTGCAGAACCATCCAAAGTGAGGTTTGTTCCAGGTGTTGAGATCTGATTGTATGTTTTTCATCAAACTAGGGAAATTACACTCAAATAGATGGGATGCCTCTTTGGTTAAGTAAATACCTAGGTATTTTATCGTGCGGGTCGCCCAAACAAATGGATGTGTTCGTTGTATAATGTCTGCGTCGAGAGGGGAAATGTTTAGCGGCAGTATCTCGCATTTGCTGAGGTTGGCTTTGAAATTGGAAATCTTGCTAAATGATTGATTCCATTTCTGCCATTAGGTGAGGTATTGACGACACTGGATCTGAGATTGTGAATAGCATGTCGTCTGCAAACACTGCTATCTTATATTCCGTTGTGCCCGTTGTGATGCCTTTAATCGAGGTCTCGTCTCTAATACCCTGAAGGAAGGGCTCCAGTACCAGGACAAATAGGAGAGGCGACAGGGGACATCCCTGTCTGGTGCCGTTCCTTATTGTCACTGGTTCTGACAATTGGCCATTGACCCTAATGTGCGCCGTGGGGTGTGAGTATATTGCATTGAACCATTTGAGCCAATTTGGACCGAACCCCATGTATTGTAAAGTGTGTGATAGCATAGTCCAATCTACCCTGTCAAACGCCTTTTCGGCATCAATGGACAGGAGCAAACTGGGGCATCCATCTCTCGTTGCTTAGTGTATGAGGTTTAGCAGTTTTGTGGTGTTGTGTTTGGCTTCCCTGCCGGGGATGAAACCTGACTGGTCTCCATGTATCAGTCCTGGTAACAGCGGTCTGAGTCTGTTGGCCAGAATTTTTGTGAATAATTTTAAGTCAATATTTATCAAGGAGATCGGCCTGTAACTGCCGCATTGAGTTAAATCTTTCCCTGGTTTAGGAAGTAGCGTAATCGTTGCGTTCAAGGCCTGTGGGGGGAGAGTGTCTGTTTTGAGTAGAGCATTGAACGTGTTTTGGAAGTGGGGTATGAGCAGAGGAGCAAAAGTCTTGTAATATTTGGCAGTGAGTCCGTCAGGGCCTGGACTTTTCCCTAGTGGAAGCTGTTTGATTACTTGGAGGCATTCGTCTGTGGAAATAGGTTTTTCTAGGGATTCTCGTAGATTGTGTGGTAAGGCTTTGTGTATCCTACGAGATAGGAAATCTCGGATGTCTGCTGTCGCTGGGGGGCTTTGTCTTAAATTGTATAGCGAGGAGTAAAAATCTTTGAATTCTGCGAGTATGTCAGTCATTGAGTGTGAGAGTTTACCTTCCTTCGTGCGTATGGCCGCTATGAATGTATGTTCCCGTTGTTTCTTTAGTGCATGGGCCAGCAAGCGCCCGCATTTACCCCCGTGTGTGTAGTATGTGCATCTTGTCTTGGCTAGGGAGCGTTTGGTATTGATGTCGAGAATTGTATTTAACTCGGTCCTTTTTTCGATCAGTGTCTTAAATGTGGTGAGATTGAGATCGTTTTTGTGTATTTCCTCTAGGCGCCTAATCTCTCTAGTGAAACTAAGTGTGCGAGATTCCCTCGATTTTTTGAGTCTAGAGGCTGCCTGGATGAACGTACCTCTTATTGTGCTCTTGTGTGCTTCCCAAATGATGGGGTAGGTGGATACTGGGTGTGTGTTGAGCTCGAAATACTGTTCCAGGGAGGATTCGGCTTGGTTCCGGATAGTGGTATGGTTAAGTAGGGTATCATTCAGTTTCCACTGTGTCCGAGTGGGATGTAGGGAGGGAATCTGAAGTGAGAGGGAAATTGGTGCGTGATCGGACCACGTGATTGTGTCGTATGTGCAGGAGTGGACTAAGTTCAGAAATCTGTGTGGGAGAAGAAATAAGTCAATTCTCGAATACGAGCACGAGGAGGATGAGTAATAGGAATAGTCCCGCTCAGCGGGGTGTAGGACGCGCCAACAGTCATAGAGCTGATGCGAGTCCAAAAGTTTCTGGACTTGCACCCGTGTTGAGACTTGGTATGTGGAGGCTTGTGAGGTTGTGTCTAATGCTCCATCTAGGGAGATGTTGCAGTCGCCTCCTAAAATCAACATGCCGTCAGTAAATTGTATCAGCTGCTTGATTATCTTACGTAGGGCTTGGAATTGTTTCCTATTGGGAAGATATATGTTGGCTAGGGTTATTGGGGTTGTGCCTATCAGGCCCTTCAGAAAGATATATCTCCCATTGTCGTCAGATGTGTGTTCTTTGTATGTGAATGGTAGATGCGGGGAAAGGAGAATCGCCACTCCCCGTGACTTCGAGCCTACATAATTGCTAAAGTATCCCTTTGTGTAGTGTCTGGATTTTAGTGATGGTGCTGAGTCTTTACGAAAGTGTGTCTCTTGTATGAACACCACTTCCGCTTTTGATTTATGGTAGTCCGTGAGGGCCATGTGGCACTTTTCGGGGGTATTCAGCCCCCTAGCATTGTGTGAGAGTATGGAAATTGTTGCCATGGCTGGAGATTTGGGGGAGGGTGGTGTGTAAAAGGGTTACTATGGTCGTGTGGGGTGTGTGTTTGTAGTCTATATCTATGGATGTTGCGTGATGCGTACCCTGCGTGTATTCGACAGGCCAGATATTTGGCTGGCGTTGTATAAATTCTTACACCAAAAGGTGTTGCAATACTACACAATGTCAATGCGATATACAAATTTTAACAAAACAAAACAAAACTATATACAATAGATGATGACGTTAAGTTACCGGTGTTGCTCTTTGGCAACTATAGGAATATAAATACCTAGGGTCTGCCCCTGAGAAGTCCCGTAGTCTACAGTAGGCAAGGTTGAGATGACCCTGATGTAGGTGGGGGGGGGGAGAAAGGGAGCGTGTGCACTTTTTTTTTTATTTTATTTTTTTAAGTATGATACAGTGGGCTCCTGGGGCGCTTGGAGCTGAACCGCATCTTGGTTTATTATTGCTTTGTGGAGGTAAATATATTTTAAGGCAATAGGATAGCGTGGGGGTGAGGTCGGCTGGCGCTTTTTATGGGGGAAGGAGGTATGAGTCGTCCAGGTGGGTCCTAATACCTTTCCCTCCCTTGGGTATCCCTTTATGTCAGGTGTCGGTCTAGTATCCCCTTCTCTGGACGGTAACGTGTACCGAGTTTTAGTATGTCTGGGCTGTGCTGTTTTCTCTGGCCAGTCTTGTCCATGTCTGTCAGTCCCTTTGTCTCCCTAGCGCAATGCGTTGCATATGTGTACCCCTTGGGCGGGAGATACTTGTTAACCCCACAGTCACATCTAAGCAGGTCACCCCTATAGTATTAGTGTATGTCAATTTCACAATTACAGAAAGCAAACATAGGTCAAAACATAAGCATGTATACGACCTGAGGTTTCAGCGTCGGCCGTAGTGGCATTCGTGATTAATCCCTTTCTGGACCGTGTTGTTGGGGTAAGTCCAAGTCTTGTGAGTGGGCTCTATCTGGGAGTAGAGGCCAGCGTCTTTATTTTGAAAATTGGACGTGCAGAGAAGGGTATCGTGGGGTTGTTACTAGAAAGTGTCAGTAGAGGCGATTTAGCGTCCAGCAGCTGTGGTCTGCCCTCCTTCTTCTAAGTGTTGGGAAAGTCCAGCCTGGGTCTGCCGTTGTCTCTTAGCCGGGGATCTCCATCGTGGTCTCTTCTGTTGAGGTGGTGCTGTTAACGCCGGATCAGGAGCATACCAATCCAGGATGGATGTTTCTGCTAGGTTTAATGCTTCGGTGAATGGCACGATGTCCTGGTGTGTAGAGATCGTATATGTGGTTCCGCGGGTGTTTACGATGAGGGCAAAAGGGAAACCCCATCTGTATCGTATGTTGCGCGAACGTAGCTGATCGGTGATTGGCCGTAGGGCTCGTCTTGCTTGCAGCGTGTGCCAAGATAAATCTTGATAGATCTGTATTTCGTGTCCCTGATATAACAAGGGGCCTGAGGTGTCCCTGAGGTGTTTCAAAATATCGGCCTTAAGAGCGTAGTAGTGGATGCGGCAGATAATATCTCTTGGGGCATCGCCGACCGCTGCTTTGGGGCGAAGGGAACGGTGTGCTCTGTCCAGGATGACCGGTGATTCTGGCTTGCGCTTAAGTATAAGATTGAAAAGCGAGGCCAGGATGTTATATAGGTTTTCCCCTTCTGCTTCTGGTAAATTATTTCTCCTGCCCCTATTGTCGATATCGTCTAGAGAGCGTTGCATCATAGATAAATGCCTTTCTTGGGCTTGGACTTTAGCTGATAGGGAATGCATTAATGTGTGGTGAGACCCCCTTTCATCCTCCAGGTCCTGAACTCTGCGGCCTACCTGAGTTATTTCTGAATTGAGGCTTTCCATCTTCTGTTGGAAGGTAGTTTCTAACTTTCCCAGCATCTGAGCTAGGTCAGCTCTGGAGGGCAAATTTCGTAATATGCCTTTAATATCTGCTTCCATCGACACCTGTGATGTGTCTGACGCTGTGGGGCTTGGAGGATCTGAGTCGGCGGTTACTGCCGCCGGCGCCATGTTGGATTCCCCGAGGTCCGCCGTGCGGTCGGAATAATCTCTAAATAGACGGGCCACAGTGCACGATTTCCCGGCTGGGGTCTTCCCGGAGAGCTGGGGAGCAGGGTGAGCCTTTTTGTGATTGCCCATCGTGGGTTTGTTACCTCCGTTTTCGGCGGTTCTGTCCGTGCTGCTCAGGAGCTGAGCTAGTGTGCTTCCATATAGCTCGGCTGTCGGCCACGCCCCCCCCTTAACAAATACATTTTTGTGATGTGCACAAAGTATTAAAGTATAAAATATTAAGGAACCCTATAGGCAGTGGTGGGATTCAGCCGGTTCGCGCTGGGTCACACCGGTTCGTGTGAACCTGTTATTAACATTTAACAAGTTCGCCGAACCGTCTGCGAAACCAGGGGCACAAAAATCAGTCAGTCAGTCATAAGGGAACCGCATGCACACTAAGCCAGCTGAGGAGCACCTCCCCTTTGTGCTCAGCGTAGAAGTCCTGGAATTCACGTGACTACCTGACGCTCAGAGTGAAAAGGGCAGAGCGTGCCGGACATCGAGAGGACCCTCTCCTGCCTAGACAGGTAAGCAGGGAGGTGGGACATATATTGTTATGTGAGGGAACAGGCTGCCAGCCAGTTGAGGAGGGGGACATGGAGAGGAGGGGGACATGGAGAGGAGGGGGACATGGATGGAATTGGTAAGTGGAAATATTTTGTATATTCTGCTCATTGGCAAGATTTACAAAGTTTATGCTATATACACACCAGTGTGAAATTTGAAATGATACATCCACCACATTTTGGACTAGTTTACGATCTTTACACAATACAAATAAGTGTGTATGGCGCTTCAAATAATTAAAAAATAAATGTGCAGTGATCACAACCAATAAGAAAGTGTTTCCCCAGCACTTAACAAAATACAAATCAGAATAAAGTAGATATACTAGTTGTGACCCACTACATATAAAGTTTAAATGAATTATTTCTGGTTTGATGGCAAATTCTTCTTACAACTCAATGGTATTGTGATGGGGACTAGATTCGCGCCCAGTTATTTTATTTATGTCTCACTCGGAAAATATGTGTTTATTGTCTCAGGAGTCTATTTGGGTGTCGAATCTAGTCCTCTATTGCAGATTTATAGATGGTATCTTTTTTATTTGGCAAGGTGATGAAGAGTCTTTTAAATAATTTTTAACATATTTAAATACTAACCAGATAGGGATCAGTTTTACCAGTCAATATAGTTGCACTAATATTAAATTTTTAGATTTGGAAATATATATTGAGAATTTAACGATTAAAACTAAGACCTATTTTAAAGGACCACTCTAGGCACCCAGACCACTTCAGCTTTATGAAGTGGTCTAGGTGCCAGGTCCAGCTAGGGTTAACCCATTTTTTTTTATAAACATAGCAGTTTCAGAGAAACTGCTATGTTTATAATAGGGTTAATCCAGCCTCTAAAGCCTCTAGTGGCTGTCTCATTGAAAGCCGCTAGAGGCGTTTGCGTGCTTCTCACTGTGAAAATCACAGTGAGAAGACGCAAGCGTCCATAGGAAAGCATTATGAATGCTTTCCTATGAGACTGGCTGAATGCGCGCACAGCTCCTGCCGCGCATGCGCATTCAGTCGAAGAGAAGGAGGAGAGCTCCCCGCCCGGCGCTGGAGAAAGGTAAGATTTTAACCCCTTCCTCTCCCCAAAGCCCGGCGGGAGGGGGTCCCTGAGGGTGGGGGCACCCTCAGGGCACTATAGTGCCAGGAAAACGAGTATGTTTTCCTGGCACTATAGTGGTCCTCTAAGAAAATTGATGTTAATGGATATATTGAAACATCTAGTTGCCATTATAGTCCCTGGTTGCATAATATCCCTAAGGGACAATTTACTCGTTTATTTAGGGACTGTACTGACAAAAAGATTTTTAATGAACAAGCCCATCTTTTAAAAACCAGATTCAAAGAAAATAATTACGATCTTGATAATATTTAAATGCATTAAAGATATTAATATTAAGGATAGGATTTTCTTTAAAAAGACAAGGAGAATAAAAAGAAAATTAGAGATGAGAAAGCAGATACATCTCTTATTTTATATTATAATGAAGATTTTAAACAAATTAAACATATTATTAATAAGCACTGGCACATTTTAAACACAGATTAGAAGAGACAAGCCACACATTATATACAGGGGAGCAAAAAACCTAAAACAATATTTAACCAATAGTTATATAAAAGAGATTAAAAAAAGAAAATAACTTATTTGGTTTACAAAATGGATTTTACCCCTGCAGATCTGGCCTTGCCTGTAGAAAAACACATTTTAATAAACAAAAAAATACAGATTTTATATCTTTTTCTACAAAAAAGGAGTTCACGGTCAAAAATTTTTTACCTATTAAATCCACAAATGCCATATATCTCCTCTGGTGCCCTTGTGGTTTGCAACATATAAAGAATTGCCGAACATATTGGGAATATCCAGAGGGGATATATCAAACAGTGTTTCAGCCAATTTTGTAGAAAAACACAATAGTAACCCTTCACAGTTGGGGTATATGGTTATTTTTAACAAATCAATTAACTGAGAGGTAAAGATAATTTTAAAGGAATTAGCAAAAGTGGAACATGTACACCCTCGCTCCTAAGGGTCTAAATTTAGATTTTTAATTTACACAATTCCTTTAGATAGAACATTTTTGTTTATATATTTCTTATATTTTTAGTTAGCATATCCCTTAGTTTACCTAGGGTGTGTTTTTATAGTTTTTTTATTCGATTTTTAAGTGTATGCCTATGTTTATTAGGATCATACACTTTGTGTATCTTTTTGTATATCCTATTTACACTTTTTTATATTCCTTAGATCATCTATAGTTTTTTATATTATATATATTTTTATGTGAATGCCAAGGCTTGTTAAGTATTAACCTCGTTTGAGGTTTCAAAGCAGTTTTCTCACAAAAGGGACAAGACTCGTTTGAGTGCTGTCAGTCCCTCACCGTCCACCTCAAGAGCGTTTGCTCATTCATCCTCCCTAAGCTGGTCCTGCTCCAGACAGGGATCACCGGAGATTGATTGGGAGTGCGAGGAGGTGGTTCGCTCTGCAGCTTCCACTGAACGAGGGAAGTTGAGCAACATTCAGATGGACAGAGTGAGCCTTTTAGGTAAAGTGCTCCCTTCAAAATTATTCCATTCAAGATGGTCCATCGAACAAGAATCAGAAGTCAGGGATTTTGCCAAACTAGCTTTCAGATCACCGCTAGTTAAAGAGGATGATCTCCTCCTTAGAAATCATATTGGTATCCCTGACATTCAGGCGCTAATGGCCCCTGAAATTAATCCAGCACTGTTATCCATTACAGGAAGCAGTGTTTCTGGGGATCCCATGGATCAGACATTCGCAATGTACAATTTAAAATTGCGGATGCTGTTGGTCCCCTGCTACTTATGATGTTGTATAAGGCAGAGAAGGAGGGATCCCTCATAACCCTTCCCTACCAGCTTTACTTGCTTCTAAATGGCACTTCTAAAAGCTTCCAGCAGAGCGGTGCTTATTATAGGTCAATCCTTCAACTATGTTTCTAACATTCGCAGAACACGAAGACTGCATGCAGCAGGGATGTCTGATTTAGTACCAAAAATCACATTAATTCCCTAATTTTGAAAACTCCTTTCTATTTGGCCCCACTTTTATACAAGAAGTGAAAGGATGATATAAAGCTAGAAAATCTTTCTCTGATTTTAAAGAGCTTTCCAAGCTTCAAGAAGCCCTTTCGGACCGAGGGTCGTTCCTACAGGGCTACAGGCTTGTCCCGGGAAGTTACTCAGCAAGCCCACTTTCGTCACCATTGGAGAAAGTCAAGACCCCCAGGCAGTAGCAGAGGAGCCCATGCCAGACATAGCTCATCAGGAAACCGAAGACCCATGCAGTCAAGTAAGTGCTTTACCTCACATCCCTCAAAATTGGTCAGATATAACCTCAGACAAATGGGTGCTTCAGATTTTCAAAAGGGGTTTACAACTCCCTCTCATTCAGTTTCCCTTCCAGAGTCAAGCTCTGGGCAGAGAGGTAAATCCAGTTCTAGATTCCTCTCTTTCCCAGACATTAGCTCAGGGAAAAATAGAATTGGCAGATTTGTCAATTTCAGGTTGGATCAGTCCCTTTTTCCCTACTCCAAAATCAGACGGCACATGAAGACCAGTACTAAATGCCAAAGCTTTGAATGCTTTCCTAAAGAGGAAAAGAAACATAGAAACATAGAATGTGATGGCAGATAAGAACCATTCGGCCCATCTAGTCTGCCCAATTTTCTAAATACTTTCATTAGTCCCTAGCCTTATCTTGTAGTTAGGATAGCCTTATGCCTATCCCACGCATGCTTAAACTCCTTTACTGTGTTAACCTCTACCACTTCAGCTGGAAGGCTATTCCATGCATCCACTACCCTCTCAGTAAAGTAATACTTCCTGATATTATTTTTAAACCTTTGTCCCTCTAATTTAAGACTATGTCCTCTTGTTGTGGTAGTTTTTCTTCTTTTTAAATATAGTCTCCTCCTTTACTGTGTTGATTCCCTTTATATATTTAAATGTTTCTATCATATCCCCCCTGTCTCGTCTTTCCTCCAAGCTATACATGTTAAGATCCTTTAACCTTTCCTGGTAAGTTTTATCCTGCAATCCATGAATCAGTTTAGTAGCCCTTCTCTGAACTCTCTCTAAGGTATCCATATCCTTCTTAAGATACGGTCTCCAGTACTGTGTACAATACTCCAAGTGAGGTCTCACCAGTGTTCTGTACAATGGCATGAGCACTTACCTTTCCCTATACAACCAAGCATTCTGCTAGCATTTCCTGCTGCTCTATTACATTGCCTGCCTACCTCTACATCAGAAATAATCACCCCTAAATCCCTTTCATCATATGTTGAGGTTAGAACTCTATCAAATATTCTGTACTCTGCCCTTGGGTTTTTACGTCCAAGATGCATTATCTTGCACTTATCCACATTAAATGTCAGTTGCCACAATTCTGACCATTTTTCTAGTTTACCTAAATCATTTGTCATTTGGCTTATCCCTCCTGGAACATCAGCCCTGTTACATATCTTAGTATCATCAGCAAAAAGACATACCTTACCATCAAGACCTTCTGCAATATCACTAATAAAAATATTAAAGAGAATTCAAAAATATTAAAGAGGTCCAAGTACAGATCCCTGAGGTACCCCACTGGTGACAAGTCCAAGCTTCGAATATATTCCATTAACTACAACCCTCTGTTGCCTGTCACTCAGCCACTGCCTTACCCATTCAACAATATTGAAATCCAAACTTAAAGATTGCAGTTTATTGATAAGCCTTCTATGTGCAACAGTGTCAAAGCCTTACTGAAATCTAGGTAAGCAATGTCTACTGCACCACCCTGATCTATAATTTTAGTTACCCAATCAAAAAAATCAATAAGATTAGTTTGGCATGATCTCCCTGAAGTAAACCCATGTTGTCTCTGATCTTGAAATCCATGTGTTTTTAGATGTTCAACAATCCTATACTTTAACATGGTTTCCATCACTTTCCCACTACTGAAGTAAGGCTTACTGGCCTATAGTTGCCCGACTCCTCCCTATTACCTTTCTTGTAAATGGGCACAACATTCGCTAACTTCCAATCTTCTGGGACTAATCCTGTTAACAATGATTGGTTAAATAAATCTGTTAATGGTTTTGCTAGTACACCACTAAGCTCTTTTAATAGCTTTGGGGGTATTCCATCAGGTCCCATTGACTTATTTGTCTTTACTTTTGACAGTTGAAATAGAACCTCTTCCTCTGTAAACTCACGTGTAATAAATGACTCATTTATCCTTTTTTTCAACTGAGGTCCCTTTCCTTCATTTTCATCTGTAAATACAGAACAAAAATATTCATTGAGGCAGTCAGCTAGACCTTTATCCTCTTCTACATACCTTCCTTCTTTTGTTTTTAATCTAACTAATCCTTGTTTTACTTTTCATTTCTCATTTATGTATCTAAAAATGTTTTATCCCCTTTTTTACTGACTGTGCTATTTTCTCTTCTGTGTGTGATTTGGAAGCTCTTATAACTTGCTTAGCCTCTTTCTGCCTAATCTTATAGATCATTTTGTCTCCCTCACTCTGGGTTTTTTATAATTCCTAAATGCTAACTTTTTGTTTTTAACTATTTTGGCTACATCTGCGGAGTACCACAGTGGTTTCTTGAATTTTTTGCTTTTACTGACAAGCCTAATGCAATTTTCTGTTGCCTTCAATAGTGCAACTTTTAAATAATCCCATTTCTCTTGGACTCCATTTAAATTGCTCCAGTCTGATAATGACTCCTCTACACATATTCTAATTTTAGAAAAGTCTGCTTTTGTTTTTGTGTGGTGTGACTCAGTCACTGTTCTTATATTAAACCACACTGACTGATGATCACTGGATACTAAACTTTCACCTACAGTAATATCTGATACCAAATCTCCATTTGTTAACACTAAATCTCGTATGGCCTCTTTACGAGTTGGCTCCTCAACAACTTGTTTTAGAGACAATCCCAGTAGGGAGTTTAGAATATGTGTGCTCCTGGCACAAGTAGCTAATTTTGTTTTCCAATTTACATCAGGGAGATTAAAGTCACCCATGATGATGACTTCCCCCTTCATTGTCATTTTAGCTATTTCCTCAACTAGTAGATTATCTAACTCTTCAATTTGTCCTGGGGGCCTATAAATCACACCTACACGAGTTACTGTGTGATTACCAAATTCTAACATAACCCAAACGGACTCTGTTTGCCTCACTAACTTTTATTAGGCTAGATTTTATGCTATCCTTCACATACAAGGCCACCCCTCCCCCTTTCTTGCCTTCCCTATCTTTCCTATATAAAGAGTACCCTGGTATTGCTATGTCCCAGTCATTTTTCTCATTGTACCATGTCTCAGTAACAGCGACTAAATCTACACTATCAGTTGCCATTATTGCCACAAGTTCATGGATCTTATTCCCTAAACTGCGAGCATTTGTAGACATGACTCTAAGCTTATCATTTTTTAACACACTTGCTACAGGCACCTTTTGTCCTTGTTTTGGGGGACAATTGGATTGATGTTTTATCACCCTTTTGCCCCCCCCCTAGTTTAAATACATCCTAGCAAAACCTCTGAACTGCTCACTGAGAACATTTGTTCCCTTTTGAGAAAGATGCACACCATCTTTTTTGTACAGCTTATCTCCATTCCAAACAGAGCTACCATGAGAAATAAAGCCAAATCCTTGCTCCCAACACCATTCACCAAGCCACAAATTAAAATTAATACGCATCCGCCTGTCGTTCTGAGTGTTATGCACAGGCAGAATCACAGTGTGGAAGCAACCTGCCGTATATCATTGGCAAAAACACTAAAAACTTCCTTAACCTCTGAAACCTCATTGCAAGCCAAGTCATTTGTCCCTAGATGGACAAGATTATTATTATTATTATTATTATTTACGCCAACAGATTACGTAGCGTACATCCAATTCCCCTTCCTGCTTTGCTTGCTTAACAATATTACAGATACGTCTCCTGTCTCTGTGAGCAGTAGCTCCGGGAAGACACCTCACAAGACCACCATTGTCCATCTCCACACCTCTTATAATAGAATCCCCCAACAACAACTGCTTTCTATTAGGCCTCACCATAGTCTCCAAGCCGGTCTCCACAACACCACTAGTCTCCAAGCCGGTCTCCACAACACCACTAGCCTCAGTGCCTCTCTCCACAACACCACTAGCCTCAGTGCCTCTCTCCACAACACCACTAGCCTTAGTGCCTCTCTCCACAACACCACTAGCCTTAGTGCCTCTCTCCACAACACCACTAGCCTTAGTGCCTCTCTCCACAACACCACTAGCCTTAGTGCCTCTCTCCACAACACCACTAGCCTCAGTACCTCTCTCCACAACACCACTAGCCTCAGTACCTCTCTCCAAAAGGTTCAGGAAAGAAGGTTTAACGGACCTCCCAGGCCTAGTGCAGAAAAAGGTCTTCTGCATAAAATTAGACCTCAAAGATGCTTTCTATTCAGTTCCTATCGCTATGAAACACAGGCGCTTTCTCAGATTCCGCTGGAAATAACAGATATATCACTGAACTGTAATGGTGTTTGGCCTATCCAACGCACCTTACACGTTTTCCAGGATAATGAAAGCTATTATATCCCATGTCAGGATTTCTATGCCTTTATTACTTAGACGACATCCTGTTGTTGAATCCAAAAGGTGGATACTCTCGTTCAGCAGAGAGATTACCTAATTTCCTTATTACAGGACCTGAGGTTTATTGTAAATCTGCAAAAATCCATACTAGTCCCTACTCAGAATATCCTATTTCTGGGTTTCATTCTGAACACTATAGATATGACCTTGGGTGTTCCCTGAGACAAATGGAAAAAATCCTAGCTCAGGTAACTTCAGCTCTTTTAAAAAACAGATGGTCCCTAAGAGAGATAGAAAAGACTATTGGGAGGCTGATAGCATTAACACCGGGTTACAATGCTTCCCCCTTGCTATGCAGACAGTCAGCTGTTTCTAGGAAACCAACTGAGACGAGGGTGGCTAGTGGGGGTCAAGGGTGGTCCTTCCCACGAGTGTCAGAAAAGAGCTAAACAATATATTGGAAGGGGCAAGTCCACTTCCTCGCCCCCTTCTGGAATGGCCTTTCGAGATAACCTTGACCACAGATGCTTCTACCAAGGGATGGGGTGCTTTCTCTGCCCAAGGCGCAATAAGAGGAGTTTGGTCACTTCAAGAAAGACTTCTCCACATAAACTTCCTAAAGTTGAGAGCAATCAAATTAGCCCTCCAACACCTCGTTCCATTGAACCCCCTAGGTGTGTCGGTAATGGTTCAATCAGACAACAGGACTGCGGTAGCTTATGTCATCCACAGAGGGGTCAAAAGGTCTTTGCCTAGAGACCTTGGACCTGTGGTCCTGGGCTCTGGTTCACAGAGTTCGCATTTTGGCAGTTCACGTACCAGGAAAGGCAAACGAACTGACGGATTCCCTGTCCAGCCAGCGTTTGTCCCTTGCTACAGTCCAGTTAAAAAGTGCCTTATTTCAGCTGATAGAGGGCAGACTGGGCAAGAGACAGATCTTTTTGCATCTCAGACTCCCACATTTGTATCCAGGACTTGGGCAAAAGGAGCTTGGAAGATGGATGCGATGTCCTTCCAATGGACAGACATTCTGGGACTTTACGCTTTTCCCCATCCATCTATTCTGATGAAGGTGTTAGAGAAACTTCGCAAAGACAGGGTGACCAATCTGGTTTTAGTGTACCCCATTTGGACCTCTAGACCATGGTACCCCGTGATCCAACCTCTAATCAGGGGACCAAAAGTTCCATAAGGCTGGACAGCAGATTGCTTCCTAGGGACCAGGGATCTCTTAACCAAGCTCCCCCAACTTATGTGGATGTCAGGCCTGGTAGGCTTTTAACGCATCCTCTTCTGTCTGACCGGGTTTTAGACATAGTTAATTCTTCATTACTGCACAGGACCAGGGTAAGATACAAACAGATGATCGAGGAATTTAAAGCATGGGAAGTTTCCTTTAATTCCCTTTCCCATGAATCTGACAATTCCCTTAGCTTTGGAATTCCTCCCGCTCAAATATCATTCAGGGTTAGCAGTCAGTACGATTAAGACATATGGTTCTGCATTACATTTTCTAATCCCTAATCTGACCCAAGACGCCCTTTACCTCAGGTTACTCAAAGGGCTATCAGTCTCAGAGTGCCTTTTACTCTGAGATACACTTCCACTTGGGATGTGGACCTTTTATTAAACTACCTTTAATTCTTTGGACAATGACCAGATAGACCTAAGATGGACGGCAATTAAATTGGCATCCCTTCTAGCTTTAGCTCTGGCAGCTAGAGGCTCAGAATTAACCTAGCTAAATATTGTCGAACCATGGTTGTCTCGAACTCTTGGGGGAGACAGAAGACTTCCCATATTTTCCCGGGTCCCATAGAACTAGATTAGACTAGACAGGGGTTGGATACTGTCCACTATGTCTGCAGCGGGTATTGATGTCATGGTTTTTAAGGGTCATTCTATCAGAGGGGCCTCAGCTTCAAAAGCAGCAGCAAGAGGCCTTCCTCTTCCTATTATCCTTAAAGCTGCAAGATGGTCTTCCAGTAAGACTTTTGTTAAGTTTTACTGGAATCCAACTGAAGTGGTTTACAGTTCCTTAGGACTAGCACCAGGTGCGTGCTATTCAGCCCACTAGCTTTGCTAGGTGGTTATGCCTCCCGGAGGGACAAACTAGAGTTTGCAGGAATCGATGACCTGCAAACTTTCTTTGTCCTAGGAAGAAGCATAACCACCTAGCAAAGCGCCCATCCCTCCCTCCCCAGGTTTATTTCTATTGCCTGGTGGCGGCAGGGTATTTCTCTGGTTTGGGAATCTTCTAATTAAAGTTAATTTTGTGTGTTTGTTTTCTTTTTTCACTTATATTTATTTATATATATTCTGTTTTTCTTTACAGATTACAACCGGCTACCCAGACAGGATCACCAAGCCAAGGACCCTCCTAAATAGTTCTGGAGATTAAGAAACTTCTTCCAGAAGCTCTTTGATTATGAGTTATACTATACTAATATTTCTCTCAGAGACTGTTTTGTTTTTCACCTTCATGATCAAAGATTGTTTTGTTACTATTAATTGTCAGTATTTCAGAAATGTTTCTTATTTATTGTTACTTTATTACATTGCCTTTCCACTCTGTTGACATAACCCTTTCATAGGAGTAAGTTCATGTTTGGTTGAGTAAATAAATTATTGTTACCCCCCTTACATTGTCAGTGGTACTCTTTTCCTTTATTATGTTTAATACCATGTACATTGATATATATCCTACATTAGGGGGTTTTCTTTGTCTCTGAATGAGTTAACCATCTGCAGTATCCAGATTTTAAAATCTGGGGTGATCAGGGCTGCCGCGAGCTACACGGCTGTCCTGATCACCTGACTGGCTAAAACGCTGTTGCTGTGCAGGAGCACAGCACGAGCGTTTTTAGCGCTGCAAAATATTTCTCCAGGAGGCTGCCACATACCCACTATCTTTGCTAGGTGGTTATGCTTATCCCTAGGACAAAGAAAGTTTGCAGGTCATCGATTCCTGCAAACTCTAGTATATGTTACATTTCCCTTATCTTTATCAGTGTATGGACTAATTTGCCCTTATATGAGATGGTGGCTTATACCACCGATATGTGTACAAACTGCATAAACTTTATTGCAATTGGCAAGATGAACGACATGAAAAATCAGTTTCCGGAAGTGGTCACTATTGGACGTCATGTGACACCTTAACCCAGAAATGTGTTCCACCATGGATTATGGATATGATGTCATCAGGAATGGATGGAAACAACTAATTGCCGTTAGTACAAACTATCTGCAGCTGTATGGGAGGTATATAAGGAGTCATGATTCACTTTGAAAATCAGCACTGAAAGAAGGCTTTAGGAGATAGCCGAAACGCGTATGCTGTTAACTTTCTTATATACCTGTTTTTATATTGTATTTTTTTTATATTGTCCTCTTAGGGTTACTTCATAGATGCTGCTTGATTTTGGTTTTTACCTCTAACACCATTCTTATAGTACCCATTTACTATTATGTTTAAATAAATATCTTTCCTGGACTGATTGGATCGTTTTGCCAGTATTGGCACCCCTTGGGCATATTATACAGAGCCTGAGACGGCTCTGGATCATGTGAGTGAGATTCCATTACATCACATTATCAACATTAGTTTTACAGGTCACACTATGGTTCTGTGTTTCCATTTATAGGTTTTCCAAATCATATTTGTGATATCAAGACTACTCAATTTGCTGGTATTATTACCATTTTTGTTATTCATTTAAACTTTATATGTAGTGGGTCACAACTAGTATATCTACTTTATTCTAGTTTATGATCTTGTTGGTAGATAGTTATCATTATTAACAGCTGATATTTGTAGTGACTACAAATTACAAACAGGTTTACACCCTTATTGCTATTTTATAAACCTATCACTAGTAATAGTTGCCACTACAGGTACCAACCACTCACGTATTTTCAGCTTGTTGGTAAAATACAGAAACACACACCTGAGCGTGCAAAATCTTTTATGTGTGGCAAGTAGCAGCTAGCAAGTAAAATGTAGTGGCAGTATTGGAAGCGTAGGAATTTAACTGTTGTGAAACTCTTTGCACCAGGCCAGAGGCTGGTGTTGAGATTTGGGGTTAGTGGCAGTAATTAGTAGTGGCATTCAAGAGCCATTAGCCACTTCTTAATGCCTAGCTTTCAGTAGAAGCAACAAGCAACTCCTTGTCCATATTTGGGAAATTTAGCAGTCAGTAAACAGCAACATCTAATAGTAGCAATAGGCAAGGTACTGAGAAGTGGCTAGTCGCTATTGAGCTTGTTAATGAGCCCATGGAATAGAAACATAGAATGTGACAGCAGATAAGAACCATTCGGCCCATCTAGTCTGCCCAATTTTCTAAATACTTTCATTACTCCCTAGTCTTATCTTATAGTTAGGATAGCCTTATGCCTATCCCACGCATGCTTAAACTCCTTTACTGTGTTAACCTCTACCACTTCAGCTGGAAGGCTATTCCATGCATCCACTACCCTCTCAGTAAAGTAATACTTCCTGATATTATTTATAGAAACATAGAATGTGACCACTACGAATGACAACTACGAAATTCCCAAAGGAAGCTAAATAGGCTCACCATGTTTTCTTTCTGTTTAACAGGACTGAGTAAAAGGCAAGAGGAGTTAGCACAGCCCAAACCAGTGCACACAAAGTATAAGCTTGACAGGTAAGATATCTATCACTTGATGGGGACTTGTAGCCAAGACAAAAATAGCTCAGTTACTAGACATTATAGGTACAATGGAGTGGAAACCTAAACTTCCCATGCCCTCTTGATAGGTTACTAAGTGTGAAAAGACATATTTTTTTTTTTACATTTGTATATTAGTAAATATTTTTAAGTGTATTACATACAACCATACATAGTCATTTTCTTGTACAAAATTATGCATTCACAATATTGGCTGCCAATAACTTGGCTTCTTTCACTGGAAACATGTAAAACCAATTCAAGAGCTTATATCCAAATATAAAAAGCCTGACCTTCGGTGGGTCCCCACTCAGATCTCAAGCTGGTTTTAGCTCATATTTTGCCATTACAGAAAGAACATCTCTGAAACATATAAGACTGTTCCTACCCATACGGGCAGTCCAGATCCGAAATGCCAGCAAGTTCCCTCTGCACGAGAGATACAGCAACCCCAGATGATCGTTTCAGCCTTGTTAGGCATCATCAGTGAGGCATAGCTGATATCTCTCTAGGCACCGTGAGCAAGGGGTCCACGTCTGGATTACCCTTTAAACTTGTGGAGAGCAAAAAATGAGCGCAAGAGAATTCTGAGTAGTAATCTCTTGCTCCCTGGTTTTTTGTCAGTGACACTGACAGTCACCATTTCAATTGCACACATAGTTTAAGCAACCCATCTTTTATCTTGGTAACTTTGCTTCAGCTTTACTTAACATCAGTGTTTGTTTTAGTCTCACAGGCCTAATCCCTTACCTCTTCGTGAGACACTTTGGCTCTTGTAGTAATGCCTCTTTGCTTTCATTTGACAACTAACATGATTATGCTAATGTGCAGCTGAGAATGAATGCTCTATATTTGATGAATGTACACCTTTCAATACACATTTATGATATCTGCTGACAGCCTGTATACCAACAAATGAGCAATACTGCTGTCTACCTGGTAGTCTCTATTGTTATTATAATATTAATCATCTTGTTAGATTTCATAGCTTGTTCCTATTCATTGTAATTTTACTACTACTCTTACTCTGACATATTTTGCATGAGCTTGTTTACTATTGAAAAATTGTGCAACACTACTCCATGTCACAATATTATTTTAAGTGTGGAATTGCCTGTTATTGCTATTGTGGCATTACAAGCCAGTTTGTAATTCTTTTGCACAACAAAAATAAAGAATTCCAAAAAAATAAGTGATTTCTGTCAAGCCCACATCTGGTCAGTGTACATCAGAACATGAGTTGGCGCACACACACACAGAACTGACAGGGCAGCATAGAGATATATAGATTTCTTGACTTCATTACTTTAATCACAACAAAGATTACGTATATGAATAACAGACTGCAGTAACAATGACACAATAAGTATTGCTATTCTTTTTTTCTTACAGGCCATCTGCTATTTGGCCAGTTAAACCAAGTTCCTTACTAGCTGTTCCCTCACCTCGCATCGAGCATCTGGCAGAAGCAAAGCATGTTAACCCAGAATGGAAGGAAGACCGGTCTGTGTACAGCATAGTGAGTGTAGCAGTGCTCCCACTGCACAGAGCAGCTATGTTTTTTTGTTGTTTATTTTTTGGGGGGGGGGTTTAAAGGCATGGGTGAAATTAGGCCAGATTTCCCTACAAAAATGTGTTTGAGCTTCATGATATTATGGCAATATTTATATATCTTTTTTGTTGTGTTTGTTGGTTTAGGAAACATTTTGATAACACATTAAAACAGTTTTTGTTTATTTAAAATGATCAAAGGTCTCAGATGGAGCTAAGAAAGCAACTGCCACTAATAGGGTACAGCAGTTGGCAACACCAAAACTGCGTGTTTCCAGTGCCCCACCATTCATCACAAAAAGTCCTGATGAGGAAGAGAATGAGAGTTTCTGTCCTAAAAGGCTTAGCGCTCCTACAGTTAGAACAGAGGCCTTAGCAGGTAAGTGTATATTACACTGTGGTATTTGTGCATATTGCCTAGCAACCATTAACCACCACATAATTTATATCTTGCCTCAGGATACAGAAGTTTGTTGCCAAACACAGAAGGTTTAAGAACAAAAACGTAATAGATCATATCTCGTTGTTGACGTGTAGCTAAAATGAGTATTTTGATTTTACAGCCAAATAGAATACACCAGAGGGTGCCATAAATCCATGTGAAATACACATATGAAATGTGAAATTAACATATTCTAAAATCACACATAACTTGTATACCAAATATGGGCCCAATAACAATAGGTCAGGACTGCTTAAAATGTGAAAAGACAGGTTTCATTTTTTATTTAAGATGTTTTTACCCTCTTTTTTTATAGATATTTTTAAAATTTTTATTTAAAACTTTTCCATTTTTTATTTATATTTTTCTCTTTGCTGTTTTGGAAATATTTTTTTACTTTTTTATATATATATATATATATATATATATATATATATATTTTTTTTTTTATTGCTGTTTTTATTTAAAACGTTTTCCCTCTTTTTTTGTTCTCTTGCTGTTTTTAATTCCCCTTCTTGTGTGTGCTGTTGCTGAAATATTACCTGTGCCGCTCTACAGCAGAAAGGCAGCTGGAGATTATAGAGGTGAATGCGTACATTTATATATTTGTATAAATTTGGAATTTTGGGCACCTCTTCTAAAGAAGGATGGCAATAGAAAAAGTGCAGAGACAAGCTACAAAATTGATAAAAGGAATGGAGCATTTTAGTTATGAAGAAAGGTTAAACAAATTAAAATCTTTTTAGTTTAGAAAAACGGTGCCTCGGAGGTGATATGATTACATTATGATTCATAGTTTCATAGTTACATAGCTGAAAAGAGACTTGCATCGATCAAGTTCAGCCTTCCTTACATATGTTTTTGCTGTTGAGCCAAAAAAAAGCAAAAATCCCAGTCTGAAGTGCTTCTAATTTTGCAACAAACTAGGAAAAATTCCTTCTTGAACCCACAATGGCAGTCAGATATCTCCATGGATCAAGCAGCTATTACCCCACTAATTAGAAATGATATCCCTGTATGTTGTGTTTTTGCTGTTTAAACATCTGTATGGACTCTAATAAAACCACATCTTCAGGCAGAGAATTGCACATCCTTATAGTTCTTACTGTAAAAAAAAAAAAACTTTTCTTTTCCTTAGATGAAATCTCCTTTCTTCCAGCCTACATGCGTAATGGTTTGTACTGGCCTTGAATATATTTGTATAATGTTATCATATCCCCTCTGAGGTGCCGTTTTTCCAAACTAAAGAGATTTACATTTTTTAACCTTTCTAACTAAATTACTCCATTCCTTTTATCAAATTTTGTAGTTCTTCTCTGCACTTTTTCTAGTGCCATGATATCCTTCTTTAAAACAGGTGCCCAAAATTGCAAAATTATACAAATGTATTCGGGGCCAGTACAAACCATTATCTGGAAATCCAAGGAGATATCTGAATGCCATTTTAGGGTCAAAAAGGAATGTTTTCCTAGTTTTTTGCAAAATTGGAAGCGCTTCAGACTGGGTTTTTTTGCCTTCTTTTGGATTGGCAGCGGAGGCATATGTGGGGAGGGCTGAACTTGGTGGACGCAGGTCTCTTGTCAGCCATGTAACTACGTAGGACATGCTAAAGAAAAATTTCATGGCCCAATAGGTGTATTACAGTAGTGCAAATAAAACACAAATAAGAACCCTATATTCCACTCTATAAAGAAACTGTATATAAAAGGAAATGTGAAAAAAATACCTTGCATCAAAGGGACAATAGTCCCACCAAACTGTCTGCTTTACGGACACACTACGCGGCTACAAGGACCTCAGGATCTCCCTTAGCAGGTAGAAGTCCGGTAAGGGATTAGGCGGTCATCAGTAAGATGTGAAACAGGAATAGTTGGAATAATTGATCAGACTTCATCAGAGGATGGATTCCTCACTATCGCGTCTTCCTTAAATGTATTATTTAAGATCATGTAATGATGCGAGTCGTGACCTCACCTTTTTATAATTTTTATATCCTGGTTGACGTACTGGACTCCTGAAACCAAGCCTTGGTAAAATTTGAGGTATGCTTGGGATCATTGCCTTATTGGAAGGTCCAATGATGCCCAAATGTCAGCTTCCACACTGACGGCATACTGTTTTCTCCCAGGATTTCCTGATCCTTCAATGAATCCATCTTGCCTTCCACATGTGGGGATATTTATGGGATAATAGTAAACAGTGAGAATTGCCCACTAATTCAATTCTCAGATCCCAAAGATCGTTATCGTGTTAAGTGAAAAGTATTTCATATAAATAAAATCACAATGTTATAAAAATAGATTTTATTTTATAATAACAAATTAATTAATTATAATATGTAACATGCGTGACAATAATCAATTAGTATTTAGGACAACATAGTATACAATGCAATACAATGGGTATACACGTTTCAATGGCTAAACAGCATTTTCTGTCAAGACTTACACGATTTATGAGGTATCCTTACAGACATAGAAAGCAAAGCTTTTCACAGCGAAGGGCCATAAAACCCTGGCTAACAGTTAGATCAACTGAATAACCCTTTCAATGCTGGCTAGATCTCCTAGGTAATTAAGATCTATTCTTATGTAATTTTAAATAAAATAACATTTAAACCAGTTCATTAGTCATTTCCTGGAACCATCCAATAAGAGAATCTACCATGTTATATAAGCAGAATTTAATTTGTCTAAAAGATATCTTATCTTATTTTAGAGCAAATCAATACACCTGGATAAAAACAGCGGTATGCCAACACGTGATATATCACATTAATATATAATTATTCTTAATTCCATCTGCAGAATGGAATGTTTATATATTCTTTAGTTAACTAAGATTTCTAAATATGGAAATCTGACCGTGCTTTATCCAGTCATATATCATGCTATTAGTACATTTTAATTAATGTAATTAATTAAATGAAACCAGTATAATTACCAGTTGAGTAGATATTTCATCCGATTGGTAGATAGTCTCAGGAACTTATTTGGATGTCTGTAGGTGCATGAGTTATGGTGAAAGGTGGTGTTGGTTAGAAAGTCAGTTAAAATTCTAAGTGTTAGAGTTTTAAGAGTAGAGTGTTAGTCTCAGATGTTGTCCTGGGTTTCTCTGCATGTCCGAGTTGGAGTCCCCAAACTTCCAATTCTTCTCCTCTTTGTCTTAACTTTTAAAGGGCCAGACTCTCTGTACGTCATTAGTTGATAACCCAATAGAAACACTAGAGGTGTGCTTATCTAGGGATCGCAATTTAGGTATTTGATCTATAGAGGGCAGTCTTGTCCCACTAAACATACCTATCCAGGAAAGAGTTAACTTTTCCTGGTGGCTATTTTGACTTATTTTGGCTTATCTATATATTTGCCATAACTTACTTTTTCTTTCACTTCAAAGGGTTTTTTCTTAGTTTTGTCCAGACTTAGTGTCCGCAATTCCTGCTCTAATTTTTAATATGGCAGTTCATGAACTAAGTTTCACCTTAAACTTACAATGGGATCTTGTACATATAGAAAGTAAAATGTTATTATTTAATCTCCTCTGTCACAAATGTCTGTGTTTAGATATGCATCTATTCCATTAACATTTTAGACAGTCTGTCCAACCCCCGTTCTCCTTATCACTTAGTTTGTATATACTATGCATTCCTTCAGCTCTGGGAAAGTGGTTAGTTTTACAGATAGAAATCTTGTGTCTTTTGTATGCTTGAAAATAACAAAATGGAGTCTGCTCTGTTTAGAGTGACTTAGCATATACACTTTTAATTTCTATCATAGCACAAGATGTCTGCCGATATAAATACCCTTGGGCCAAAAAGTTCCAGTATTTTTCATCACTCCACAGAACAGATTTCCCACATTTCTGGGGCTTATTAATATAATTTTGAGCATATTTAAGCCGGTTTTCTTGTGCTCTTGGGTCAGTAGTGTGTAAGTCTTGGAGTTCTGGCATGGAAACCTTCTGCGTCTAGTACGCACCTTACTCTGCTCCCCGAAACCTCAGTGCCTGTTGCTACAGGTCTTTTGCAGTCACTCCAAGGTTTTTCACAACCTGCCTTCTAAGACATCTGGTTGCAGCCATTGATCTCTCGAGACTTGTCTGTCAGAACACTCTGATTGGTTGGTTTTCTAGCCAACCAGAGTGCTCTTGGTCATATTGCAAAGCATGGGAAATTTTCCTACTCTTTGCGATACCTGTCATAGCGTGAGAAGCCTATAAAAGGGCTTTCTCCACTAAGAGTGCTCATTCTGCGATGAACACTCCATTGGTGAAGATTCATTTTTATTTTTTTCTTGTGCGGTTTTTATTTATTATTTATTTTTTCAGGCCATTTTTTTTTTTAAATTAGTGGTGTCAGGAATTATGGATTTTTATTTGTATAATATTTTTTGCAGACTTTACATTTTTTTTTTTATCCCCTCCTCACTATGATTATTATTATTATTGCGATTTATATAGTGCCAACAGATTCCATAGCGGTTTACAATATTATTAGAGGGGGGATTTGACTATAAATAGGACAATTACAAGAAAACTTAGAGAAACGAAGAGGGCCCTGCTCAAACGAGCTTACAGTCTATAGGAGGTGGGGTATAAAACACATTAGGACAGGGAATAGAAGTCAAATTAGGTGGGAGTGGAGCAGAGCTGGAGGAGAGAGTAGAGTGCTGCCCTTTAGGAGAGAGCAAGAGGCAGGTATGTGAGGTAGAGGTTAGTCTGGGAGGCCATAGGCTTTCCTAAAGAAATTAGTTTTGAAGACTAGGGGAGAATCTGATGGTGGTAGGCAGGCTATTCCATAGGACAGGAGCCGCCCGCGAAAAGTCCTGCGAGTGCGAGTTGGCCGTACGGGTACGAGCAGCGGACAGAAGTGGTCATGGGCAGAGCGGAGAGACTGAGAAGGGGCATACCTATGGATCTGTGAGGAGATATAAGAGGGGCTAAGATTATTCAGTGCTTTATAGGTATGGGTTAGCACTTTGAATTGGCTCCTATAGTATACAGGAAGCCAATGTAAGGACTGACAGAGGGGTGAGGTGTGAGAGGACCGACTAAAGAGGAAAATCAGTCTGGCGGCAGCATTCATTACAGACTATAGCGGGGCAATACGGCTATTGGGAAAACCAATTAGGAGAGCGTTACAGTAGTCCATGCTAGAGATTACTAGAGCATGGACAAGCTCTTTAGTAGCATCTTGTGTAAGAAAGGGGTGGATGCGGGCGATGTTTTTGAGGTGGAATTGGCATGATTTGACAACAGACCGGATGTGAGGCTCAAAGGTGAGGCCAGAATCAAAAGTAACACCAAGACAACGTTCTTGTAAGGATGGGCTGTTATGGGTACCACCAATCTGAAGGGAGAGCGAGAGAGGAGGATTAATATTAGGAGGAGGAAAATCTAATTTTTTTTGTTTAATACCTTGGTGAACCAGAAAATTCAAATAGGGTTTATACAGGAAACTCACTGGTTAGCGGAAGCTAGAAAATTATGGTTCTTTAAAAAATACCCGGTGATTTACTCCGCTTCTTTAAAAGGAAAAAAGAAATGTGGTGTATCTATAATTTTCTCTAGAGAAATTATTTTTGATTGTAGTTATAACTATTTAGATCCGGAAGGGAGATTTATTATTTTGGTGGGTCAATTGAACGGGCTGGATTATACTTTGGTTAACGTTTACCTTCCCAATCAAGATCCTATTAAAACTCTGACGAAAATCTTAGGGCTGGTGGATCAGGTTAAAAAAGGGAGAATTATCTTTGCAGGCGACTTTAATTGTATTTTTGATACTTTTTGGGATAAACAATTGGCTAAAAACCAGAAGATAGATAAATCTCTCAAAAGGCAAGCGGCATCGCTAAGTAGAGTGATCAAGAAAGCGGAATTGTTCGATTGTGGGAGACTGTTCCATCCTAATGAAATAAATTTTACGCACAGATCTATTCCCCATAATTCGGCTGCTCGGATAGATATGATACTGGGTAATTTAAATTCAGTTCAGGCAATCTCCTCAATTGTTATCATTGAAAACACGTGGTCAGATCATGACATGGTAATTGCAGATCTGATGGAAAATAACAAGCGATCCCCTCAGATTTGGAAATTGGCAGATTATCTGCTAAAAAATAAAGAAAATATAGTACACATAGAGAAGACAATCGATTTTTTTATTAAGGAGAACCTATCTGAGGAGGTATCTAAAGAATGTCTATGGTCCGCGTGCAAAGCAGTCATAAGGGGACACTGGATAAAACTCAAGTTTTCAAAAAAGAAATGTAGATAAAACTTTGTCGGATCTTTATATCCAATTTTATAATCTCTCTAAAGCTAATAAACAAGTTTATTCTGAGGATAGAGCTTTAGTAATTAAATCCTATCAGGAAAAGATAAATGAACAGATTAAAAACAGGGTGGAACGGAACTTAAACAAGTTAAATATTAAATATTATTATAAGAATAACCGGGTAGACTCAGTCCTTACAAATAAATTAAAGAAAAAGATGATAGATCATAAGATATCTAAGCTAAGAGAAGGGAATGATTATTTTTATAAACCTGAAGAAATTGCAAGTAGATTTAGAGGGTTTTATCAAAAACTTTATAATTTGAATAAATTTCCTGATCAAGATGTGCTGGACAGCTATTTGAAAAACTCCTAATCTGTTCAAATTATCTAATGACCAGAAGGTGAAAATTAACAGAAATATATCTTCTCATGAAGTGGAATTGGCAATAGATAAACTTGCTAATAGTAAAGCTCCTGGACCAGACGGGTATACAAATTTGTTTTTTAAAGTTTTTAAGAGACAATTAACCCCGTTGTTAACTGATACCTTTAATGAATTGGCAAATAAAGGGAATGCTTCTCAAGATCTATTAAGGGCCCATATCACTCCAATTTTGAAACAGGGTAAAACCCCAGATGATGTGAGTAATTATCGTCCTATCTCCCTGGTTAATGTGGATATGAAACTTTACGCCGCAATTTTAGCAGAACGGCTGAAAATAGTTATGCCATCACTCATACACAGGGATCAGATAGGTTTTATGCAGGGAAGACATTCCTCTAGTAACACCCGTAGGGTTCTAGATATTATAGAATGGGCTCAAGCCGAGGGAACACCCCTTCTGACCCTGTCGGTGGATGCAGAAAAGGCCTTCGACAGGGTCGGATGGGGATATTTGAATAAAACTTTGATACAATTTGGTTTTGACGGATGGTTTCTGAGTGCGGTGGGAGCTATATACTCAAACCCTTCCGCTCGAATAGTAGCCCGCGATTTATGTTCTGATTGGTTCAATATTAAAAATGGGACGAGACAGGGGTGTCCCCTTTCACCTTTATTATATATCTTGTCAATAGAACCACTAGCAAATAATATTAGACAAAATCCTGGGATTAAAGGTATAGGAACTCAATCCGATGAATGGAAGATATGTCTATATGCTGACGATATTTTGATCTCCATTACGGATTCTCTGGTTTCTCTTCCGCACTTAATGCAAGAATTTAATAATTATAGCAGTGTTTCAAATTATAAATTGAACACGAATAAAACTATAGCCATGTCAATTAATCTATTCTCCCTAAAGAGAGACTTTGATTTTAATTGGACAAAAAAAGAGTTTATATACTTGGGGGTAATTATAACGGCAGAGATAAGCCGGACTATGGAAACCAATTTTTTGAAGTTGTTAAAAGAGACCAATAGGTTATTGAAGGAATGGAGAGTGCATGAAATTTCCTGGTTGGGTAGGATTAATACCATTAAAGCTTATATAATACCTAAATGGGCATACTTATTTAGTATGCTCCCTCTTTCGATTTCGAGCTACTGGCTGAATATGTTGCAAACTAGTATTACAGCGTATGTCTGGAGAGGGAAGAGACCAAGGATCAGTACGTATCATTTATCAAGGAAGGCCTTTCAGGGGGGGTTGGGCTACCCCCTTGTTAATCAAATTTATCAGGCTAATATATTAGTTCATGCCAGCAAATTACAGCTAACCGATTCTAGAGACCAAGCCTGGTATAAAATTGAAGCTGCTAGACTTGGTCTAGACAATCTTGAATTTCTCTTATGGAGAGAGGCAAGTCAGAACAGGCATTTGTGTGAGATGGGTTCTGACTGTCCTTTGTCCTTATTTCAGACATTAAAAGAATGGACGATCTTAAAGAGGAAGATGAATATTAATAGAAAAATATGAGAATCTGAGTTTGAAATCGTTGGAAAGTTTCATGCTAGAGATAAATCTGACAAATTGGTATAAAAACTTTGATTATAAGATAAAAGATCTCTACTTGGACCACCAATTGAAAAGTTTTGAGGTTCTGAAGAATTGGTTGGATTTACCCCCTAGAGAACTATTTAATTTCCTCCGCATTAAGAGCTATTTGAAAGATAATATATTGGCCCTAGATTCCGACTTGGAATAATGTTTAGGAAAAGTTTTTCAGGGGATCCTGTTAAAAGGGTTTATTCTATTGCAGTTGAATTAATAAAGATGATAGGGTCCTCTCTTATTCCTAAAGCTTTAACTAAATGGGAAACCGATCTATCAATTTCTATTCCATTTGATAGTTGGTGTAAATCTTTTGTAAGGACTAAAAAAATTATCCATTGTTTGAATATTTTAGAGACCTTTTTGAAGGTGCATTTTAGATGGTATTTGGTCCCTATTAGACTTGCTAAAATCTCTATTACTAACACATCAAACTGTTGGCGATGTTTTCATCCAGATGGTTCAATGGTTCATATATGGTGGTCATGCCATCGAATTAAATCTCTCTGGATGATTGCATATGAATTTATAAATAGATTGGGAGGTTCTTATTTGGAATTTAAACCGGAAATCGCTCTACTCCATCTTTTGGGCTCAGAAATTTTGACTTTGTGATTACACACTGCTTAATGGCTACTAAAGTATTAATTGCTAGATTTTGGAAAAGTACTGACATCCCTACGAGAGATCAAGTTAAAGTACAACTTTTATTCCAAGTTGAGATGGAAAAGGGATTACTGTCCATGAGAGAATACTCTAATACCAAGGCTTTGTCGTTTTATTCTAGTCTTGTCCATAATGTTAAGAGGCTTTAAGGTATATGACTTCGTGGGGTTTTGTGTATGATTTCCCTACGGTTGGTATGTTGTCTCCATTGGGGGCTCCTCTACTAGTCTCCTTGGCCTTGAATTGCGTTCTTCTCCAACACATATGACCAGTTTTTGTCTGTGTTTCTGTCTATGTTTAAATATATTTCTAATGGGAATGTATAAGCCGCGTGTGGTTTACCTCACACAGCCGACGAGATGTTAATGTTTTCAGACTGTTTTTAGATTGTGCCTCAGACGGCTTTTTGATGAAATTTGACATAGAATTTTGTATTTATGTTTGTTTTATGTGGATCGGAATCCTTATTTCTTCTTTCTGTAAGGTTCCCTCCTTTGTGTGATGTCTTGGTGTATTAATATTCTTGCGAAAAATAAAAAAGGAATGCAAGAAAAAAAAAAATATATTAGGAGGAGGAAAGACAAGAAGTTCTGTTTTGGAAAGATTCAGTTTCAGAAAGCGGGAGGACAATCAGAGATAGAAGAAAGGCAAGAGGTGACACGTTGCAGGACATCAGGGGAGAGGTCCGGGGAAGAGAGATATATCTGGGTGTCATCAGCGTACAGGTGGTAAAAGAGGTTATAAGCTTGCCAAGAGAGGCAGTGTAAAGAGAAAATAGAAGGGGACCAAGGACAGAGCCCTGAGGGACTCCAACTGAGACAGGACGAACGGTGGAGGTATCATTAGAAAAGGAGACGCTGAATGAGCGTTGGGAGAGATAGGAGGAAAACCATGAGAGGACAGAGTCACAGAGACCGAGTGATTGAAGAGTTTGGTGAAGGAGAACATGAACAACAGTGTCAAAAGCAGCGGAGAGGTCAAGAAGAATTAGTATGGAGTAGTGACCTTTGGATTTAGCTGTGATAAGGTCATTAGTGACATTGATAAGGGCAGTCTCAGTAGAGTGGAGGGGGCGGAAGCCAGACTGAAGAGGGTCGAGGAGAGAGTAGGAGTTGAGGAAGCAGGCCAGACGGGTGAAGACTAGTCTTTCAAGAAGCTTTGAGGAAAAGGGGAGCAGAGATATAGGACGATAGTAAGAGGGGGAGGATGGGTCGAGACATTTTTTTTTTTTTTTTAAGATGGGTACTACAGTAGCATGTTTCAGGACAGCAGGAACAGTGCCAGAAGAAAGAGAGCAGTTGAAGATGTGTGTTAAGGAGGGCACAAGACAAGAAGAGAGAGATCTAATAAGGTGAGACAGGACAGGATCAAGCAGGCAAGTGGTGGGGCGAGAGGAAAGGATAAGTGCAGCCACCTCTTGTTCAGTAGCCTGGGAGAAGGTCGGAAGGGTTGGAGAGGAATGATCCAGGGGAGGTTGAAAAGGTGAGGGGCAAGGTGGTGAGAATTCTTTCCTTATTAGGGTGGTAGGAACTTTATCTAGCGAATGGATGGGGAATGGGGACCCCTAGCCACCGGAAAGGTGAGTTAGGTAATGGCATGTCCACCCCCCTACAATTTATAATTAATAAGGGCCCCCACTCGCGTGAGAGGAAGGGACACTACACCCTCCCCTCATTTTATGCATATTAGGAACCTCACCCGCAAGCATAGGTGGAAGCCAGGGGAAGGTAAACAAGGTCCCCCTTATTATAAGTATTAGGGGCCCCAGCCCTAGAGGACGCTTGGTCTCCCCCATTTTAGAAATATGAGGATAAATAACCATCGGCTCGGAGAGGGGACACTCGGTCCCCTCTTATTATAAATATTAGGGCGTCGACCTGCCATCATGGGTGGGGGCCAGTGGATGGGACACTAAAGAATCCCCACCCAGTGTCACCCTCGGTTTTTCACAGGCCCCATTTCTAGCCACTAGTTTTAAATCTTTAGCAGACATGCCTCTACCTTTTTATTAATTTTTTTTAAATCTGGGCTCAAAGTTGAATTCTCTGTGCCTGGATTTGCCACATTCGGCTTGTATGTCAGCCGTCTGAATTACAAAACCCGGACATTGATGAATTCCTTAAACAACGTCTGGATTTTACAGTCTGAATGGCCCTGTATGCAGCTCGATAATTTGCCACATTTGGTTTGGGGCCATTCGTATTTTAGTGGATAGTGGAATTAAATAGTGCGACTGCAGGGGCATGAACTATACCAAAACTGCTTAATTGAGCTAAAGTTGATTTGATGCCTATAGGGTCCTTTTACGGTGATATTGCTATCCAAAACGTCCCGCTGAGAGCTGGAGCCTTGGTTGCCTTATGGGTAATCCGGCTCTGGGGCTAGTAGTTCCACAATATGTTGTGGGTAACAGTCTGACAACCCTGCACTAGGTGTCTTTCTTTTTTAGATTTTTCAGACCAATAAAAGACATTTTATTGTTGTTTGTTTATAGGGTTTATTATATGTGAGCAATGTATATTATTACTTCTCAATTTTGGTTGGTTCTTTGTATTTATTAATTTCACTTTTTACTACAGATGTATGCACCAATAGGATAAAGAATGAAATAAAAAACTAATAATCCTAAACACAATTATGTCTGCTTTACTTCTTAGTGCCAAAGGCAGAGTATCCAGGGTTTCAGCATGACTTGCCCGTAGAAAGGAAGGTTCCTGCACCTGTTCTTCATGCCCAGGCATCAGATCGTGTATGTCAGCTTGCTAAACATAAAATTCGCAAGTCTTTTAATGAAGGATATGACCCATACAAGATATCATCTGCTGCTAAAAATGTGCAAGCCTCACCTCGCTTAGTAGAGCTCAGCACACCACCTGCCCGCCGACAGCACACCAAAAAACTCTAGAATTCCTTATTTAATGTCATATTTAAACATTAAAAAAAAAAAAAAACTTTGTTGCTCTTGATTATATTTAAAAAATAATAATAATTTAAAGACCATAATCAATGTAAGGGTATCTTTTCCTATTTTAACGCAGCCGGATCATTTCAGCAATGACCCCAGCCACCTTGTCCATACTCATTCAGTCTTGGTTGAGACAAAATCAACGCCGTATCAATTTTTACTAGGTAAAAAGCCTTCAAGCCTTTTTATATAACTTGTCATGGTGTCCTATTTCTATTTCACAGTCCGTCTGAACAATTTTGGCACAAACCTCATAAAAGGTTTTGGACCTATGTAAATCCATGTCATTTTAGGTCCAGTGCCCTTTTGTGGTTTCTGATAGCCAGTAAGCACATTTATACATTGTTCCTGAATTTCTGGTATTTACTTGACCTGCCTTGATTCTGACTTTGTTACTTTCTGTGTAACAGATTTGGCTATGCTCCTTACCTCGAGTTATACTAGTCCTGGTGTCCCATCTACCAAACCTGGCTAGTTCTTAACTTTGAGTCCACTATTGTGCTAATTATATAGCACTCTTATTTATAGTATTAATTTCTCTGGCCTGTTTAGGTTTGTTCTGATATTACCTATTTCTTGCCTAAGCGGTAAGCCAAGGCACTGCTTAGGGAAGAAATACGCATTTTCTATCACTCTTACTGTGTGATATAGCGGTTGACCTATATATTACTCCGTTCTTGACAATCAGAATAGGGAGTAAATGTGATCTGAGTGACTTTGACTGTTGAATTATTGTTGGTGCCTTATGTGTTGGTTAGAGTATCTCAAAAACTGTTGAGCTCCTGGGGTGCTTACAGAGAATGGTGCAAAAAATAAAAAACTTCCTGTGAGTGAGATCTCTAGGTTAAAATGCCTTATTAATAAGAGATGTTATATGAGAATGGACAGAGAGGTTCAAGTGTTGTAGCCTAGTGAAGTTTTAAGAGGTTGGCGCACTAGACTCCATTTGTGGACCTTTTGTTGCACATCACAGCTATTTTCTTCGGTGTTACTCATTGTGATGAATGACTAAGGGAATGTGGCCTGTGTTAACTCATATTCATACCCCTGTGAAAGAGGAATTCATGGTTGAACAATTTCCTCTTCCTACATCTGAAGTATATTTTTAGTACACTTGGGTAACTACCCAAGTGTACTAAAAATATACTTCAGATGTATTTTTCTTATATGAACTCATAGGGGTGTTCCCATACTCAGCCCCCTTCTATTCACATTATTTATAAATGATCTGCCTAACGTCTGCAAATTCTCAACTGTACACATGTATGCAGACGACACTGTAATCTACGCTAGTAAACCCAAGCTACCGCAGCTTGAGGCTGTGCTCCAAAACCAGTTCACAGAGGTAGAAAAGTGGATAGCAGCTAACAAACTCTTCCTAAACACTGACAAAACTGTTACAATGATCTTTGGAACTGTACTTAAATTACGTAAAACTACAAAATCAACAACTGTGTATCATATCAAATTCAAACACCACACTGACTGCTCTTTTAAATATCTAGGTATGTTGTTAGACCCCAATCTATCCTTTGGCCTTCACATTAAAAAAATCTCAAAACTAGGTGCCCTGTACAGAAACAAATCCTGCCTAAGCCCTGCAGTAAGGAAACAGATTGCTAAAATGCTAATGCCGGTCATTGATTATGGGGATGTAATGTATGCACCGCACCGCAAACCCACCTTAATAAACTTAATACATTGTATAATTCATTCTGACGCTTTGTACTAGAATGTAACTACTTAACCCACCACTGTGACATGTTAAAAGAGCTAAACTGGCTGTCGCTGAAATCCCTACGCACTCTTCATCTTTCCAGCCTTGTGCATAAAAGCATTTCTGGGAAGCTCCCACCCTACCTGAGTAGAATGCTCTCCCCAGCTGTTCCCACCTCCTATAACCTCCGATCCAGTACGAGCAAGATATTTAGCATACTGCAATACAAAAATAAAGTGGCTCGATCCTCCTTTTCTTACAGAGCATTGCAATTATGGAATAACCTCAGGGACACAGTCAAATCTTCATTCAATCTAAAATCTTTTAAGAGATCTATGGCAATATACCTCAGCACAGAATGCACCTGTCATGGTTGGATCTATTTATTACCTGTTGTGTATTAAATTTATATACGTGTGTATGTATGTATGTGTGTGTATATATATATATATATATATATATATATATAGTTTGTATATTGTATTTTTGTAATATTGTAACAATGCAATGTTTTGTGGACCCAGGACATACTTGAAAACGAGAGAAATCTCAATGTATCCATCCTGGTAAATATTTTAAAAATAAATAAGCATTCAAGTTTCTCTGTATAATATTTTAAAAATAGAGAGAAGGGACCTTTTGTCCCCTTCCTCGTCCCCATGCAGGTGGGTAAGGGACCCTGATTAATTATAAAATAAGGTGGACACCTCCTCAAAATATATTGTGACCTCCTTCTTCCTTCCCCAAATAAGCCCAAAAGATAAATCTATAATTCCAGACGCCACTAATTGATATTCCAAGTTTCGGGTCAGCAAAAACATAGAAAAAAAAGATTGAAGTAGATACATAGAGTAGATAGTACTTATAAAAACACTCCGTAATTTATATTGCACTTACAAGATAAAAATAATTTGTCAGCATATCACTACATCCACTGAATATCCAGGCACAAAACTAATATCCAGGGTTTTGGGAATGGCAAGAAACCAGCAGCATACAATAAAAAAATCAAATAATGAACAAAATAGTTATAAAAAATAAGCCCTACATGTTTTGTCCATATGCATGGACTTCTTTAGTGGCAAAACTAATGTCTGTATAGTCTCGATCGATGTAAATCCAAAAGTATCAGGTCGGGTTAAAATCTCCCAGCTCGTGCCTACACAGAAAAGGGTAATTTTATTGTATGTATCCCTTCCTTTCTCTTCACTGGTGTTATTCTTTGTTGTGTATTTAGTGTATAGTTGGGTTCTATACCTATATAAAGAGTAGCTCCAGGTGTCATGAGCTTTACAGCAAACAGAAACATGTTGGCTTAACTACATAGCGATTTAAAAGTGATATTCATATCTCAAAATAGCACAAGCATGCTAATGATCTGACTCATTAAAAGATCTATCCATCAGTTGAAGAGCCATAAAACCAAGACAGAAAACCACCCCGATATCACCCGCAGCGACTAAGATGGTTGATACCTAAACATTCAATGCTTGGTCTCACACACAGCATCAGAAACAGAAATATTGTGCACTCTTTCGGATAACATGCCAGTTTAAAAAATACATTCAGTGCTACAATTTAGAGGAACCGCTCTGCAATCAGATTTTAAAATCTATGGGTAACAGAAGTAAACTTTGGAAGGTAAAATGGAGGAAATCTGTTCTGCACATAATGAGTGGTTGATAAAGTAAACCACAATTTAGGATGACTAATTTAAATTATTTGTCAAAATGGGAATTTGGAAGACCGCACTAAAGGGAAAAATAAATGCGTAAATGTATACCTGATTCCATATCCATGGAAAAGTTGACCTAACTTAGCATCTCAATATTTAAGGTGATTTTACCATTATGTTTATATAAAGATTTGCTCTTAGATAATGGGCACCGAAAAGGCGAGGCAAAAGACCTTCCAGAATCTCAAAAAAGATACAAAAGTTCTACCATAGAACCAGGCATTTCTACCATATTTGGAGGAGGATACTGACTGAAGACCATCATCAATTACCCTTTATTGGGTCTACAGAGTGTAGCAGATGGACTAAAAGAAAGAAAGGAGCTTATAGGCAGACTCTTACTTTTAAATTTACAGAAGATTGTACAGTGCTAGCTTAAAGGAAAACTATAGAGTCAGGTACACAAACATGTATTCTGAAACCTCAGTAGGACAATGTCAGACTTTGGATTACAGGTTTGGTTTATGGGGGCAGTGGGCGCACTCTAATCCCTCTGCCAGAATAGTGGGACAAAACTTATGTTCAGACTGGTTCACTATTTCAAACGGTACTCGCCAGGGATGCCCACTGTCCCCATTATTATATGTGCTATCAATTAAACCATTCGCCTGTAAAATTAGACAGAATAACGATATTAAAGAAATATCTATGAGATGATATTAAAATCTACTTATACACCGATGACGTACTCATATCAATAACTGAGCCTAAAACGTCACTACCTCATCTGATGCAGGAGTTTGACAAATATAGTCTAGTATCAAACTATAAACTAAATGCCAAAAAATCTACAGCTTTAGTAAATAACCTGCAAGATTAAATGCAAACTTTGAAACAATTATACGATTTTAAATGGACTAATAAAGATTTTGTATATCTAGGTTTAATTCTATCTGCTGACTCTAGAAGATGTATGGAACTAAACTTTATGAAGCTGCTAAAAGAAACTAATAGATTATTAAAGGAATGGAGACCATATGAAATATCATGGTGGGGAAGAGTAAATACCATTAAGGCGTATATAATCCCTAAGTGGATGTTTCGTTTGATTCCTCTTTACATATTCCCACATTGGCTTAATTTGGTCCAAAGCAGTTTCACTAATTTTATCTGGAGAGGAAAAAAGCCCAGAATTAATTCATTCTCGTTATCAAAAAAAAGTTTAGAAGGGGGTACTGGATATCCAATAATTAGTCAGTCTTATCAGGCTAGTATGATGCTACACGCTATTAACTTACAAAAGACCAATTCAATACAACAACCATGGTATAAGCTGGAAGCATATAGATCAAAAAGGCTAATTTAGAATTTCTTTTATGGCATAATGTGAATAAAAACAATGTGATAAATAGCACAGAAAATGAGTCCTTAATATCCCAAACCATGAGAGAATGGGGAAAAATAAAGAGGAAACTTGAATTAGATAATGTCATACCTTACACTATATCATTAAGAACTTTAGGACATATTATGACACAAATTGATCTGAAAAACTGGTAATACCAATAATATTTAAGTTGGAGACTTATATAAT